AGTACTTTAAGTTAGACTCCTTCCGCCAACCCGGAAACATCTCTCGCAAAATGGATTCAAGCACAGGATTCTTTAAGTTCATATTTTCAGACCGTTCGTGGGATTTCTCTAAGACCCCGAAGTCTTTTCAGGCCGCATACGAATCGTTGAACCCAAAACCTTACCAAATCTTTGATCTTCTGTTGAAGGAAGAGCGTTTCACAAATTTCTTCTCGAGAATAGAAGTCTATGGAAACAATCTGGCCAACTTGTTAAGTCAATTCCATAGTTTCGAGAAAGATAATTACAGGAGCTCGCTATTACGGGAGATTATTGGCTCTTTTACTGTTTCTCTGCTCGCTGAAAGATTTGATGACATGAAGTCCAGGAGTGTAGCTGCAAGAATCGTTGTCTCGGTGGTGAAATTATCGGATCCAAGCACTTTAGGGAAGTTTGGTGTGAGATTAGGGGCTCTCCCAGGGATATTGCGGGTTCTGGTTGAGGAGGGGCACATAAAAGAATTATCCTTGACTCATCCACAATGCTTTGAAGGTCTCATTTCTGGAGTCCAGGCCAGGGAACAGTGGGTCGAATTTATTATGGGTTTCTGCAAGGAGTGTGAAGTTCACGGGTCGAGGCCCAAGAGAACTAGCGACGTGGACTTGGCGAAGTTTATTCGCACTGTTCCTTGTCAATTGTGCTCGAACATTCCTACCGGCCGCGGACCCAGCAAGGATCCCGAGGGGAAGCTAACGCGAGCTCGAGACCACCTCTTCAGATCAAACCTGGAGTTGAATGTATTCGAATCCCTCTTAGGTGAGCCTCTTGGGCCGTGGAAAGTAATTCTTTCTCAACAGGCCATGGAGGAACTGGGGACAGAGAACGCTCGGGGTACAGATTCCATCACTCAAGATGTTTTTGAGGATTGCTGATGTGAGCTAGGTATCCTCGGGGATGTTCGGTGTAAGTTCTCCGAGCTTGCCTCCGGAGACTGGGGTGGAAGAAAGCTGTTCAATATGGCCGAGTGGGGAGATACCTTGAGCTTTCGAATCCCTTTATTCAGAACTTTCTACAAACCCGGGTCTTTTATATTATGGCAGATTGATACTGCTTTTGATGAAAGGTTTGGCGAGGATTACCAGGTTATAAAAGGTTTGTGTATCCATGAAAGTGTCCTCATGGGTGGGGAACTGACAACAAGAAACTGCGGTTTAGTATGGACTATTGGAAACCCCAGAGATGTATGTCCGGTCCCTGTGTGATGTGGGTACGGTGATGTTAAGGTGAAGAAGGTCGGCAGGATTCTTGCGCATATTCATCGGGTACAACAAGCCTATACGAAAGCTCAAGTGGGAGCTTGCACCATAGACAATATGGATGGGTTACGAGGGGTCATGTATCCAATGAGGGTGTGCTTGGACGACGAGGAGAGTGGTTCCACGGTGGTTGATGGCACCATTAATGAGGATTTCGATTATCTAACTCAGCTAGGTGAGAAAGCTGAAATAGCCCGACTTGAATGGCTCTTGCCTGACGATGCTAAATTTGTGGTTAATAGCAAAGTTTTATGGTCTAACTACCACTGTTCTGGACGGTATTGCCTCCTTAGCTGGCAAGCTGGCATACCCAGTAGCCATATCCACGGAAGAGGCCCGGGTGGTGGATCACTTCGTAACACCAGCATTCATTCTCGGGAGAAGTGGAACCGGGAAAACTACCTGCCTGGTTTATAAGCTGGTGGGAAGGTATTTAAGTATCGGGAAGAAAGGAGGACCTTTGAGACAAGTAAGTGATTGCAGGAGGTCTGAGATTGGGCCATCCTCTGAACGCAAGGTTAAGCTAACAGTCACAGGTCTTACTCACGAGGTCAAAGAGATTGGCGTCGAAGTTAAGAACTAATACCTGTGGATTGATTAAGGCCCGGTTGGGAGAGCTAGCTGAGGGCAATTATGGCAAAAATGGTGATTTCGATGACAATACAAGAGAGCAATTCTCATCGCTTTGTGATGCAGATTTCCCGCTGGTATGCACTTTTGATTACTTATTAAGGCTTATGGAGAATAGTATTAGGTTTGTTGCTCCTTAGTATAAGCCATTGGTATATGGTTGGCTTACCGAGCGGCTCCAGGGAACAGGAAAACCGGAGGAGATACATGAAGATGGACAGTTCTAAATGCACCCGTGTGATCGACTTTAGGATGTTCAACATTGAATACTGGGAGCACCTATCCCCAAAATTAAAGAAGGGTATTACGGTAGATTTAGCATTTCTTGAAATCATGGGGGTCATTAAGGGATCGATTACTCCAGCCACAGACTTTGAGCCATTATCTCGCCAAGATTATTTGGCAAAGCGGTGGAGACAGGCCCCGAATTTTGCGACGCAGAGAGAGAGGGATGCTGTCTATGACATATACGAGTGGTATGAGCGGGCAAAGAAGAAGCGCGGCGGTATTGATCAGGCAGATAGGGTTATCAAAGTTATAAGGGCTTTGGAGACATTCAAGCCTTCAGAGATACCTGAAGAGAATGAATTCGAACGGAATATTCGAAGGGTACTGGACGAAATATATGTTGATGGTTCGCATCTCTCAATCCAAACACTACCTTCGGAAGGGATTAACAAGGAGGCAGAGGTCCAAGACCAGCGTGCGTCGGAAATAAGTATGCTTTTGACCTTAGTGGGTTATCCCCAGCACATCCATTTCGGTATGCTTCTCTCTATTTTCTTTTCTTACTACTTGGTCCTCGGTTCTCATCAGCGAATAGCAGGTGATACGGCCCAGTGTATATCCAAGGACGCTCTTTTCCGGTTTGCAAATGCCAAAGCCTTATTTTATGAGCGTTTCAGGGGCACGACTAGCAACACCGGAGACCTAAAGCCAACATTACTTCCCTTATCGCACAACTTTAGATCTCACAAGCAGATTTTGAGTGTTGCTTCCTTGGTGATGGATCTCTTGTATAGTGGTGCGCTGCTTCCTAGCACACTGCTCTGCGTTCTGTAGTGCTTATGAAATAATTTAGGCTTTCCGGAATTGGTCGATGAATTGCCTCCTGAGATTGGGGATATCCCCGGTCCTAAACCTACCCTTTATAGTAACAACCCCACCTAATCTACCGTTTGTAGCTAATTTTCGGAGTTGGGAACAACATAATAGAGTTCCTGGAGTATGCAGAGAGAATGAAAGCCCCTCGGCAATCAGATTGCCGGGGAGCCGATCGTAATGAATATGGAGAAGTGTGTGTTATTCTAGTGCGGGATGAAGAAACACGCGACAAACTTCGAACAAAGCTCGGAAGGTCTTCACTGGTATTAACTATTCTCCAGAGCAAGGGTATGGAATTCGAGGACGTTTTCCTCTATAATTTTCTTAGCACAAGCCCGTACAGCAATAAATTGGATATCTTGGAAGAACTTTTCGAACGGGGCCATCGTGTGTGTAAGATTTACCCTATGAATAAGTGTAATTTTGGGGGAGGGTCTGGCCCATATGCTAACCTCTTTCGGCCTTGAGAGGGTTAGCTCCGAAGGATCATTTAGGACTTATGGGGGAAGGCGAGAATAGGAAGAAGAGCAAATTCGAGCGGAGGTCATCCGCAGGAAGCGGAAGTAATCAATCAACTTATCAGCAGGGCCGTGCGGTCTGGGCAAATGAAAATATTGTGAGTAACTAATGACATATATGGTAAAAAAGTGATCCTAATAGCGTCGCAGATCCTCTGCTCTGAACTGAAGGTAAGTGGATAGTATTCAGCTCTTGGTCTTGGGTTAATTCGTTTGCTAATCCCCCACGGACGTGAAGCAATTATATGTCGGAGTGACGAGGGCTCGCAACAGACTATGTTTACTGGAAACTAACCTATGTATCTTAAACCCGGTGCAGCTCCTGTTCAATGAAAAGGCAACTTTGTTATCACCGCGCAGGTACCCCGGCCCGATACTGGAGATATTAACAGAGAGAAATGCAGGGGTATGTCCTGAACCTCCACTGAATTATCCACTCTGATAGCCCTAGGGTTGTGAGCTGCGCAGGCGGTTTTCTACGGGAAGGACGATCGGCTCTTCTTGGTGGAGCGAAATGGGATATCAAATGATTGATGACCGACAATACTCTGAGGTTCGTTGGAACATGTCAGACTCTCAGAGGAGGAGACTCACGAGTTCTCCACTAGGCCCTGCGCTGCTTCGAGAGCGCTAGAGATACTCATGGCATTACATTGGCCAATGCGTATATTAATGAAGAAACTGGGCTCACCAAGAGAGCTCGTCGACAGTTTGAAGGGGCAAGAATTTGTTTCATAGCGGCATCAGATCTTTTCCTACAAACTGGCAGCACCGAAAAGGCGGTTCAATGCCGAAAGGAAGGGGGTGATCCAAAGCGTGCGGCCGGTGGGTAAGTCCCAAGCCAAGACCGAGATATTAAGGCTTATATGGTACAGAAATTCTTGCCGATAATGGAGAATATAAGGAGGCCGCTTGGCTTTTGGCAGAAGTTGGCTTGTTTTCAGAAGCAAGCGAGGTGTATACCCAGAATAACAAACATGAGAAGGCGCTTGCGGGCTATGCTCGTGGGAAACAATTTACATCTATGTTGGACTATCTCGAAAGGTTTATGCCTGATATCCTTTTCTACTTAATCTGCAGAGCTCAGAGTGGTATAATGGAATTCGCTAACTACTATGAATAGCAGGTCTGAGTCAGAAATTGAGCCTTGCTGTTGGAATCAGTATATACAGCTCTTCTACTTAAAAGAATTTGGGGAGAGCGATACGATTCCAAACAAGCATGAAAAACGGGCCCTCAACCTTATTGGATCTCCGGAGGAGCAGGAAGTGGTTTTGTCAAGATTTCACTTGATGAACAAACTTTTCAACTTGCTCTGCGTTAATACAAAATATGTGGAAGCCTACGAGATTGGGGTTAGTTCTGGGTTTCTGAAGAAGTCCGTTAAGTTGCTTAGTGACAAGCTCTGGTTAAAATATCCGGGTTTGCGGCAGGGGGCACAGCTGAACGTGATGTGTAAGTTTCTGCAAGCAGAGCATATAGCAGTCAACCCTTGGCCCGGAACCAGGGAAGACAAGCGGGTCCACCCAGTTCTACGAAAAGTTACAGGGAGAGGGAGCTCGCAGATCGATTCTCTTATCGGAATGTGGGAGGATATCAATCAAGAGCTCGACAACTTTGTTCAGTGTCGAGATAAGACTAATGTAGGGGAGGGAAAGTTTGATGATGTGCAGATTGCTGGTTATGTGGATATTTTGGTTTGTTCCCTTGGGACGTTTTTGCGGTGTTCGCCTCTGACTTTGCCGAAGGTAACCAGGTGCGCATATCTAAACCATGGATTCCGGCCTCCCCTTGATCATATCGAGCGCGTGCTTGAAGATTTGAGGATAATCTCTTCAGATGGAACGATCCCATCTTCAGCTCAACTCTATTGCGGGATTTATGAGATGCCTCGTCAGCCTGGCAAATACATCGTCCTGGACTGGTCTCCACTCCGTGATAGCTCGAAGCCACCGCTCCCGCTTAGGCCGGTATATCTTGAATCGCTCAGAGGCAGAATATTAAGGCATATTTTACGGGACATTGTTCCTCCTCTTGTTTCGCTGGAGGGAGGATTGCGGATAATGTGGAGCGAGGGTGGGGGGCCTCAGTTCGTGCCCCCGCTCACACAAGGTACGAACAATACCAGACACCCCATCTCGGTTATTATGATACTTACATGGATGTTGCTTAGTGGAAACCTACTCGGAAAAAGTAGAGGTAAGCTCTGTGCATTGAAATTCTGCAATGGGACTACTCGCTTACAGTGGGCCAGTTGTTGGTGCGCCTTTGCCTAATCTTCTTGGAAGCTGCTGCAATGGCCAAGGGCAATAGACGGCCGAATGATTCCCTGCCGCAGAATTGTGAGACCTTCCTCCCCGCTCCACCAAGTGGTTACTTTTCTAAAGTAATAATACAGGGGATTGGAGATTTTGGAGAGGAGCTCTTCTAGAGCAACTGGAGTTCAGATCCTCCTACAAGCAGAACCCTAGAACTCTACTTGCCACCAGATCTGAGCTCAAGGCTCGGGCGACGAAATATCGAGTACTATACTCAGCTTTGAGTGAGAACGACACAACGGAGTATCGGATAGAAGCTGCCGTTAAAATGGGTGAGGGGGCTTGCGTATCTTCGCTTTTAGCTCAATACCAAACATCGTTATTTCTAGGTATGTGGAATTGTGCATTGAGATTTTCCTAGGAAAGCGGTGTCCACTTCTGACAAGCAACAGGCTATGAAAACCAATGGAAGTTAGCGTTCCGGGAAATGCGCGATCGCACGGTGAACAGGGGGGACCTAAGCCTCAGATATGGCTCGGAATTGTTAACTTTGGTCAATCGGTTTGTCTCGGAGACTGGGGATGGTGATTTCCCCTGGGAATTTGTATGCTTGGTTCACCAACCCGCTTTGTAGCTGATTTGTTAACTTTAAAATAGTGCGGAAATATATACAAAGTCTTGGGTGCCCTGGGGAAAGCAAGAGACATTCTAAATTTTTACTCACCCCCCGTTATTTCTCTTTATGAGGAGTTGGCATTATCTCTGGTAAGAATGTGGCCGGTATTTGAGGTTTGGCACTAACAGGTTTAGATTTTCCTGATACGCCCTTATGAGTTTCTGATTCCGGATTCCTGGCGTCTTTTATACTTCAACAGATGGGAAGGAAAACCGAGGTCATCTTCCATTCTCGAACGCTTCTGGTGCCAGCAGTGTCTGGTCAGAGTTTGTTTGAGCTTCTGCGAGATGCTTGTAAATATAGTAGAAGAAACACCCGCCGAAGATGTTGCTTTAGCCCGACGAAGTGTCACCTTGATTGTCGTATGCCTTATCAACTTGGGAACCCTTTTTCCCCGGCCACGGGAATATGCAGAATTATGGCGGAAGTCGCAAGAGGTTCGCTTTCCCACTTAACAAGGACTTGAGTGTTGCGGTGTGCTTATTCTCTACTCAGGTTTTCCGCTGTGACAGTTTGAATGCTAGTGTTATCCGGGAAGTGCGGGAAGATAACCTCATAGTACATTTGGCAAAGGTTTTCCGAGGGTACGGAAGGAATGATTCAATCTGCCTTGTGGGGGGACTTGTCGACTCATTTGCGGGGATTCCTTTGAAAGAGAACTGGATATCGGTAAAAATTCTCCCCAGAAAGGAGGAGAAAAGCTGTGCGGAGGAGGGGGAGGTGTGCGAGGAGAAAACCATGCTGCCGATCAACGCAGCGCGTGTTTTGACCGCATTTTGGAAACTAAATGGGTCGAGATGTGTAGAGAAGATGAAGGTGCGTAGGCTGCGGCGCCGGTACGCTGCGCGTATTTTGACGGCTTTCTGGAGACGGAATGGGCCAAGGTTCTTGGAGAGGATGAAGGAACTCAGAGGGGACTTTGTTCCCTGGTACACATATTCTAGGGATTGACTGATTGTGGATATGGGAGAGAATAAAGTTAAGGTGTATTGATGACGAATCTTTGCTTTCCATATTTTCCCTCCGCTTTTTGGGGCTGTCGGGTTGGAAACCAGGAAAAAGTGTTTCATGCAGAATCATGCTCTAATCTCCTGAGTGGCAGAATTGTTGTGATGGTGGATGCTATCAAAATGCGCAGTGCTAATAGAACGGAACAGTGAAGAGAATATTTGTAGTGGGATCAATGGGAAAAGTGTGGTCTTCGTCTCTCTCTCCTTCGCTCATAGGTAATGACAGGTGTATAAGGAAAACATCATCAAAGCAACCTAACCTCTTCATAAACCACTACACCCATCTTTCACATTCCCTCCATGTTCAAACTCCTCTGTTCACATCCGTAATAACAAAGGAAAGACATATCTGTGAAATCCGCTTCTAGCCTTCAAACAAATCTATCCTACTGCTAAATCCCGAAAACACTCCTGCCACTCCCGAAAACAACCTTATCCTTCCACTTTCCATTCCTTCCATGACCAACCACGACACACTATCACTCATCACTTCAACAAGAATTGAGTGAGCTATCGGGGTGCCCTATTTTAACATGGGGGGATGGTCCCTAAGGGATAAGAATTTCCTGCAATATTGGTGAGGCGATCGGGTCAACTTCAAGGTTGTCCAACCGACTCCTATTCTAACTCGGTAAGGAGCTGTTACCTCATTCATATCGAAGCAGTGACGACCTTTGTTTTTCTCCCCAGATCTGGGGGCGGTACACTCGTGCTGTGTTCAGCTCGGGCGCGGTCATATCTACCTATTCTCTAATAGTTGGTATACCGGTAGTACTGCACAGCACAATCGCAGTCACTCCGGAGCACATTGGCAAAAGAAAAAAGAGCTTCATGTTTTGATCAAGCCCCATGCAACCCTCTAGAGAACTTTTCCGGCTCGATTAAAAACCCAAGCCGGGGGTTCATGAAAAATTGAATAGCCATGTCCCCCGAGGTCGGAATCTAAGTAGCCCAAGCATACTAAGTCTATGCGCCTTTTCCTACAAGTTCTCTAAAACCTACAACCTCTTGGCTGGGAATATTTGGAAGTGGCCGGAAATTTTATTGACAAATATCTCGGGAACTCCGCATCTGGATCTCCCGGTACTATTTTTTTGCTTTCTCTCAGTAAGTTACCGGGCGAGAGCCTAGAGCCTAGTACAAATGCAGAAATCCTCACAACATCCGCTAGTCTCAACAAGAACAGACCCTGGATTACGCGATGGCGGGCCCTGGATGGATGTTTCTAGCGCAGCATAAGGCAACGGTCACCGGTCTTCCAATGGGTTGAGGCTTTCTTGGATTGGGTGGGCTGGGGGCTCACAGCCTGGTTTTGACGGCCAACTCCGCGCTACGGAATCACGACCTCTAGACATTGGTGTTTCCAGAGCAACGTATTAAGGCAAAGGTTGGATTTACTAGAAGCAAGCCTTTGTTTCGTTGCTCGGGGTCCTACCTAAGATAATGGTAAAGATAGAACAATAAATAAAACAGAATGAAAGCATCCCAATTCCTTAACGAATCACGACGCCTCTTCTCAGCTCCCCCGTGGGTGTCCTGTTCCCCCACATGCACCCGTAAAATAACAAAAGAAAGAAGTATCTTGGGAAACTTCTCTGTAAATCATGAACGAAAGAAGCCACCGATAGGTTTCCCTGAACTCCCCAATCAACTGCAACCCACTGAGTTACCCTTCACTAGCGACTCCAACTAGCATGTGAGATCCCAAAAACAATTCTCTGGATGTGGGTAACCCACACACATGAGCGTATTTCTCCTTTAAATTTTCAAATGGTTCGTTGATTCTAACCTATGGCTATATATAAAAATAAAGGTGTAACCATGGGTTCCAACCTCATGTAGTAAATCTTAAGTACGAGCAGGACCCCCAGTCATGGACCACCGCCCGCTCCGTACAATAGAAACTATAAGATCTTAAAAATTTATACACGCTGGTCTATTGCAACCGTCCCATTCTGTGAAATCTTAGCTCTAACCCGATTCTACCCGGATTACGGGGCAAACACCAGGAGGGCGCAAAGTTTTGGCAGCGGCAAGGCGGAGTGCACCCACGGCTCTGACAATGGCCATTGTCCGTGACACATGGTTAGCGGAAGGGGGCGATGAGGGGTTGCGGGTGGTTAGGTTTTTCCTGGTAGAAAGACAGAAGGTTGGCCGCTTTTTATGGTAAACGTCATATCATACCTGATTCCAGCTTGAGAGGTTTGGTTTCCAGTCCTCAAGTTTAGTATTCCCCTTCCACGTTTTCCTTCACCACCAAGTGCCAAGTATGCTGGACTTCTCCTGACACGACTTCCAAAACCCTAACCCCAATATTACTACCTTGTCCCTTGCAGCGATTGGCCCGGCCACTGGCCGTGATAATGGGAGTGGCCATTGGTCGCTGTCAACACTGAGGGCTCCCCTTATATCCACCCCCTATCTCTGTATTCTTTTTGAGTTCAGTATTATCTGGTGTTATCTGGTTTTTCCTTCCGCCAATGCAGGGCGTTACTCAAGGTTCAATGGTACAGGGTGTCTAAAGTGGATGCTTCAAGAGAGCATGGTGACAAAATAAAGCTGAATATTAGTTCTGTTTTTTAGTTGAGCGGGTATTGGGCAATACACTGACTTTTACTAAGGTGCCAGGACTCCCAGGTGAAAAGGGTTGGTTTTTGGTATCAGACAATCGCTCATCCACAGGGGATGGTGATCAAACAATTGGCACATACCCACCAATATTGTGGTAGATAGCTAGAACCAACAATCGTGGTCACCTTGTTAACTGGCGAAGACTGGGTCCTACTACAACCATACCTCTCGTTTGGTGCTGAGTCGCTCGGTCGGTAGGCGGGGTTCATAGAAATTGTGAAGAGAAAATGCGGAGTAGCTCTACCGAGACTTGAGAATTTTTTCCCCCTCAATCATGCTATCTTTTTAAGCTTGTATGGCGATTTTGGATGTTGGAACTGCCGATTTTAGAGACTGGACACCACCCCGCATCAAGTAACTTCCTGTCACAGCCAAAACCCGGATGGGGCGGACAAGGTGGAGGGCAAGCACACCCTGATCTGGAGCTCCGGTAAACCGAGAAAATTGGTGTCGCATGTGGTGCTCGGATAGCAGTGATTGATGTCGCGGAGCGTCTGGTGGCCTGGAAGAGGCATCACTTTTTGGGAGGTTTGTCTTGCAGTTAAAGCGAACGAGAGCGGAACTGTGGCCTGAGACTCTGGGTTCAAAGGCTTTGAAGAGTCAGGATTGGCATGTAACCTGGTTCATAAGCGAGCTAGTTGGATCGTGGTATTACTCAAAGGCCTGCGGCCACAGGTTGGGTTTGCGGTTAATTCTAAGTGGTACTTGTACGAGTACCCTATTGACATTGGATAATTTCCGATATTCGTGTGGTTGTGCAAACCCGTCAGTGAACGAGGTTTCCCAGCACGGCCACTACGGGTATTGCGCGACACCATGCGGTGGCAACCGTGTTTCCGGACGTCCTTCAATTGCAAGAGCTGGATCGGTAGGATATGGTATAGTGCTACCGGCACGGTAGTGCAGATCGGTGGGTGCTGTGCACGCTTACCGAACGTAATACTGTGCCCATACAGTATTAGCAGATAACCGCTAAGGTAATTTACTGTCCTGTCAGCATTGACTCAGCAACCACTGGGGATGCGCTCAAGTGACCCGTATGGGGTGGGAGGCCTTAAAGCTAAGCTTGAAGTTACAGTACCGGTACCGGTGCTCTCCATGATCCCAAGCGGACTAAGGACTGACGGGATCTAAATTGATTCCCCCGCACCTTGTTCCTGATAATTGCCCCTTTCTGAAGTCCTTCCACCTAGCGAACTAGACTCCTTCCACCAATCTGGAAACATCTCTCGCAAGATGGATTCAAGCACAGGATTTATTAAGTTCATATTTCCAGACCACACGAGGAATTCCTCCAAGATTCCGAAGAATTTCTCCAAGACTCCGGTCAATTTTAAAGCGGCATACGAATCATTGGGTCCAAAACCTTACCAAATCTTTGACCTTCTTTTGAAGGAAGAGCGTTTCACAAATTTCTTCTCGAGAATAGAAGTTTATGGAAACAATCTGGCCAATCTGTTAAGTCGATTTCCAGATTTCCAGAAAGATAATTATAGGAGTTCGTTATTACGAGAAGTCATTGGTGCTTTTACCGTTTCTCTGCTCGCTGAAAGATTTGATGATATGAAATCTAGGAGTGCGGCTGCAAGAATCGCTATCTCGGCGGTAAAATTATCGGACCCAAGCACTTTAGGAAAGCTTGGTGTGATATTAGGAGCTCTTCCGGGGATATTACGGGTTTTGGTTGAGGAAGGGCACATAAAGGAATTAGCCCTAACTCATGCAAAGTGCTTCGAGGGTCTCATCTCTGAAGCCCAGGCCAGGGAACAGTGGGTCCAATTTATTATGGGTTTCTGCAGAGGATGCGAAGTTCATGGGTCAAGGCCTGAGGGAGCTGGCGCTGGGGAGCTGGCGAAGTTTATTCGAACTGCTCCATGTAAATTGTGTTCAAAGGTTTCCTTTGATCGCGGTTTCAGCATGGGTTCTGAGGGGGAGCCAACGCGGGCTCGGGATCACCTCTTCAGATCTAACATGGAGTTGAATGTGCTCGAATCCCTCTTAGGCGAGCCTCTTGGGCCGTGGAAGATAATTCTTTCTCAACAGGCTATGGAGGATCTGGGAGCAGAGAACACTCATGGTAATCATTCCATCAAGCCAGATGTTTTTGAGGATTGCTGATGTGAGCCAGGTGTCTTCCGGCATGTTCGGTTCAAGTTCTCCGAACTTGCCTCCGGAGATTGGGGTGGAAAAAAACTGTTCCATAGGTTCGGATGGGGCGATGCACTGAGCTGTCGAATCCCTTTATTCAGAACTTTCTACAAAACCGGGTCTTTTATATTATGGCAGATTGATACTGCTTTTGATGAAAGGTTTGGCGAGGATTACCAGGTTATAAAAGGTTTGTGTATCCATGAGAGTAGCCTCATGGGTAGAGAACTGACAACAAGAAACTGGGGGCTAGTATGGGCTATTGGAAAACCCAAAAATGTGTGTTCGGTCCCGATGTGATGTGGGTACGGTGATGCTAAGGTGAAGAAGGTCGGCAGGATTGTTGCGCATATTCATCGAGTACAGCGGGCCTATACGAAAGCTAAAGTGGGAGCTTGCGACATAGAAATTTTGGATGGGCAACGGGGGGTCAGGTATCCAGCGAGGGTATACGTGGACGACGGGGAAAGTTGTTCCATGGGGGTCGATGTCACTATCAATGAGGATTTTGGTTGTCCAACCCAGCTAGGTAAAGAAGCCGAAATAGCCCCACTTGAATGGATCTTGCATGACGATGCTAAATTAGTGGTTAACAGCAAAGTTTTATAGCCTAACTACGATTGTTCTGGATAGTATTGCCTCCCCAATTGGCAAGACGACATACCCGGTAGCCATATCAGCGGAAGAGGCCCAAGTGGTGGATCACTTTGTAACCCCAGCATTCATTCTCGGGAGAAGTGGAACTGGGAAAACCACTTGCTTAGTTTATAAGCTAGTAGGAAGATATTTAGGTAGCAGGGAGAATGGAGAACCTTTGAGACAAGTAAGTGATTACAGGATGCCTGGGATTGGGTTATGCTCTGAGGGTGTGAGGTTGACTAAGCTAACAATCATAGGTCTTACTCACAAAGTCAAAGAGGTTGGCGTCGAAGTTAAGAACTAATACCGATGGATTGATTGGAGCGAAATTGGGAGAAATGAACAGGCTAGCTGAGGGGAGTTATGGCAAAAATGATGAGTTCAGTGACAATACAAAAAAGCAATTCTCGTCGCTTAGTGACGCAGATTTCCCGCTGGTATGCACTTTTGATTACTTATTAAGGCTTATTGAGAACAGTATTAGGTTTGTTTCTCCTCGGCTTAAGTCACTATAAGGTTGGCCTACTGAGCGGCTCCAGGGAACAGGAAAACCGGGGAAGATACATGGAGATAGACAGTTCTAAATGCACCCGCGTGATCGACTTTAGGAAGTTCGACATCGAGTACTGGGAGCACATGTCCCCCAAATTAAAGAGGGGTATTCCCGTGGATCTAGCATTTCTCGAAATCATGGGGGTCATCAAGGGATCGGTTACTCCAGCCACGGACTTTGAGCCTTTATCTCGACAAGATTATTTGGAAAAGCGATGGAGACTAGCACCGAATTTTGCAACGCAGAAGGAGAGGGATGCTGTCTACGACATATACGAGTGGTATGAGCGAGCCAAGAAGAAGCGCGGCGATATTGATCAGGCAGATAGAATTGTCAGGGTTACGAAGGCGTTAGAGGTATTCAGGTCTTCGGAGATATTTGAAGATAATGCATTCGAACGGAACATTCGGGGGATACTGGACGAAATCTATGTGGATGGTTCGCATCTCTTGATCTAAAACGCTAGTTCCGGAAGGGGATTAACAAAAAGGCAGAGGTCCAAGACCACCGATCCTCGGAAATAGGTCTGCTTTTGACCCTGGTGGGATATCCCCAGCACATCCATTTCGGTATGGTTCTCTATTTTCTTTTCTTACTACTTGGTCCCCGGTTCTCATCAGCGGACAGCGGGTGATACGGCCCAGTGTATATCCAAGGACGCTCTTTTCCGGTTTGCAAATGCGAAAGCCTTATTTTATGAGCGCTTTAGGGCCACCGCTACTAGTACTAGCGACCTAAAGCCAACATTGCTTCCCTTATCGCACAACTTTAGATCTCACAAGCAGATTTTGAGTGTTGCCTCATTAGTGATGGATCTCTTGTATAACGGTGCTCTGCTTCCTAGTACGCTATTCTGCCTTCCGTAATGCTTATGAAGCGATTTAGGCTTTCCCGAATTGGTCGATAAATTGCCTCCTGAGATTGGGGATATCCCTGGCCCTAAACCTACCCTTTATAGTAACACCCCCACCTGATCGGCCGTTTGTATGATAGCTAATTTTCGGAGTTGGGAGCAACATAGCAGAGATCCTGGAGCATATAGAGAGAATGAGAACCTCTCGGAAACCGGACGGCCAGAGCTCTGGGCGTAATGAATATGGGGAAGTGGGTGTTATTCTAGTGCGGGATGAAGAAACACGCGACAAACTTCGAACAAAGCTCGGAACATCTTCACTAGTATTAACTATTCTTCAGAGCAAGGGCATGGAGTTCGAGGATGTTTTCCTCTATAATTTCCTTAGCACAAGCCCGTACAGCCATAGATTGGATATCTTAGAAGAACTTTTCGGACGGGGTCATCGTACGTGTAAGATCTACCTTATGGAGGGGTGTAGTTTTGGGGGAGGGTTTGTGTCATATGCTAACCTCTTTTAACTTGGAGAGGGTTAGCTCCGATGGATCATTTGGGACCTATGGAGGAAGGCAAGAATAGGAAGAGGAGCAAACTCGAGCGGAGGGCCCCCACAGGAAGCGGAAGTAATCAATCTACCTATCAGTGGGACCATGCGGACAGGGCAAAAGAGAATATTGTGAGTAACTAATGACATGGACTGTAAAAAGTGATCCTAATAGCGTTGCAGGTCCTCTGCTCTGAATTGAAGGCGAGTTGATAGTATTCAGCTCCTGGTCTTGGGTTAATTTATCTGCTAATACTTTGCGAACGTGAAGCAATTATATGTCGGAGTGACGAGGGCTCGCAATAGACTGTGTCTACTGGAAAGTAACCCTTGTATCTTAAACCCGGTGCAGCTCCTGTTCAATGAAAAGGCAAATTTGTTATCGCCGCGCCGGTACCCTGGCCCGCTACTGGAAATATTAACAGAGAAAAATACAGGAGTATGTCCTAAACCTTCCCTGCATCATCCTCTCTGACATCCCTAGGCCAATGAGCTGTACAGCCGGTTTTCTACGGGAAGGACGATCGGCTCTTCTTGGTGGTGCGAAATGGGATATCAAATGATTGATGACCGACAATACTCTGAGGTTCGTTGGAACATGTCACATTCTCAGAGGAGGAGACTCATGGGTTCTCCTCTAGGCTCTCCGCTGCTTCAGGAGCGCCGGAGATATCCATGGAATTACGCTGGCCAATGCATATGTTAGTGAAGAAAATGGGCTCACCAACAGAGCTCATGGGCTGTTTGAAGAGGCAAAACTTTCCCTAATTCAGGCATCAGAGCTTTTCCTACGCGCCAGAAGCATCGAAAAGGCAGTCCAATGCCGAAAGGAAGGGGGCGATCCAAATGGTGCAGCCCGTGAGTAAATCCCTAGTGAGGACCTTGAATATTAAGGCTTAAATGGCACAGAAATTCTTGCCGATAATGGAGCACATGAAGATGCTACCTGGCTTTTGGCCGAAGTTGGCTTGTTTTTAGAAGCAAGTAAGGTGTATACTCAGATTAACAAACATGAGAAGGCACTTGCGGCATATGCTCGGGGGGAACAATTTAAACTGATGTTCGAATATCTCAAGAGGTACACTAGATCTCCCTTGCTGCTTAATCTCCGAGCTCAGAATGGCACACGGTGGGATTAGCTAATCACCAGGAACAGGTTTAAGTCAAAAATAGAGCCTCATTGTTGGAATCAGTACCTGCGATTCTTCTACTTAAAAGAATTTGGAGAGAGTGACACGATTCCAGACGAGCATGAAAAACGGGTTCTCAATCTTATTGGATCTCCGGAGGAGCAAGAAGTGGTTTTTTCAAGATTTCGCTTGATGAATAAACTTTTCGATTTGCTCTGTACTAGCGAAAAGTACATGAAAGCCTACGAGGTTGGGATTAATTCTGGGCTGCTGGAGAGCTCCATTCAATTGCTTAGTGACAAACTTGGGTTAAATAACCCAAATTTGGGACACGGGGCACGGCTGGAAGTACTGTGTGAGTTTCTACAAGCAGAGCATATAGCAACAAATCCTTGGCCCACGTCCGAAGATAAACGGATCCACAAAGCGCTACTAGCGGTTGTCGGGAGGGGGAACTCGCAGATCGATTCATTTGTCAGAAGGTGGGAAGATATTGGTAGGGCGATCTACAGCTTTATCCTGAGCCCGGATAAGCCTAGGGCAGCAGTTGGGGGGGTTGGTTATCAGCGGGTTGCTGGCTATGTCAATATTCTGGTTTGTTCTTTTGAAATCTTTTTGTCGTGTTCACCTGTAACTCTGCAACAGGTAACGAGATGTGTGCACCCGGACAACGAATTACGGCTTCCACTTGATCATATCGAGCGCGCGCTTGGAGATTTGAGGATAATCTCTTCACTTGGGACAATCCCGTACTCAGCTCAGCTCTATTGCGGGGTTTATGAGATGCCTCGTCAACCGGGAAAATACGTTGTCCTGGACCGGTCTCCACTCCGTGATAACTCTAAACCACGGCTCCCACTTAGACCAGCGGATATCGAATCGCTAAGAAGCCGAATATTAAGGCGTATTTTACGGGATATCGCTCCGCCTCTTGTTTCGCTTGAGGAAAGATTACGAGCGATATGCAGCAAAAATGGGGGCCCTCAATTCGTGCCTCAACTGAAGCTAAGTATGAATGATCTTTGATGCTCCATCCCGCTTAGTATAACACCCTACTTACATGAATCTCACTTAGCTGAAAAACGCTCCAACAGAGTAGAAGTAAGTCCTATGCTTTGAAATTCTGCTCTCAGACCACCGCCTTACAGTGAACTAGTTGCTGGTGCGCCTGTGCTTAATATTCTCCGAGTGTTCTGCAATGATCAAGGACAACAGGCGGCCTAATGATTCCTTGCCCCAGAATTGTGAGATGTTCCACTCCACTCCACTGAGCGGTCTGTTTCTAACGTGATATAGGGAACTGGAGGCTCTGGAAAGTGTCTCTTCTGGAGCAAATGGAGTTAGAATCCTCCTACGAGAGGACCCTGGGAGTTCATTTTGATACCAGGTTTAAGCCCGGGAATTGGATGACAAAGTATCACGTACTGTACTCAACTTTGAGTGAGAATGACACAGCAGAGTATCGAATAAAATTAACTCTTCAAATGGGTGTGGGAGCTCGGGTGTCTTCGCTTTTGGCTCAATACCAAACATCGCTATTTCTAGGTATGAGGAACCGTGCAATGAGATTCTTTGCGAGAGGGTAGGGTACATCATATCCTAACAAGCGATAGGCCATCAAAGCAGGTGGATGGGCTCATTCCGGGCAATGTGCGCTCAAACAATGGGGTTGGGGAACTCCAGCCTCCATGATCACTCTGAATTGGTAACTCTCGTCAATCAGTGCCTGTCGGACACTGAAGATGATGATTTTCCCTGGGGATTTGTATGCTTGGTTCACCAGCTCGCTTTGTAGTTGATTTGTTAACACTAAAATAGTGCGGAAATATATACAAAGTCCTGGGTGCTCTGGAGAAAGCAAAAGACATTCTAAATTTTTATTCGCCTTCTGTCATTTCTCTTTATGAGGAGCTGACCTTATCTTTGGTAAGAATATGACTAGAATTTGAGGTTTGGTATTAACAAGTTTAGGTCCTCCTCCTGACGTGCCCTTACGAGTTTCTGATTCCGGATTCCTGGCGTCGTTTATACCTCAATAGATGGAAAGGAAAACCTAGGTCACCTTCCATTCTCAAACGCTTCTGGTGCCAGCGGTGTCTGGCCAGAGTTTGTTTGAGCTTCTGCGAGATATTAGAAGAAGCTATCGCCGAAGATGTTGCTTTAGCCCGACGAAGTGTCACCTTGATTGTTGTATGCCTTATCAACTTGGGAACCCTTTTTCCCCGGCCACGGGAATACGCAGAATTATGGCGGAGGTCGCAAGAGGTTCGCTTTCCCTCTTAATAGGGACTTGAGAGTTGCAGTGTGCTTATTCTCTACTCAGGTTTTCCGTTGTGGTGGGTTGAACGCTAGTGCTATCCGGGAAGTACGGGAAGATGATCTCATAGTTCATTTGGCGGAGGACCTCCGAAGGTACGGAGGGAACGACTCAATCTGCCTTGTGAGGGACCACAAACGACGTGTCCACTCCTTTGCCGGGATTCCTTTGGAGAAGAACGGGATATCCGTAGTAAATATTCGCTCTGTGAGAGAGGAAGAAGGATGTCCGTCGCAAACACTCAAGGGGATGAAGACGAGGCGGATTAACGCGGTCCATGCTCTGATCGCTCTTCGGGAACTGGATCGGCCGAGATTCCTGAGGTTCCTGGAAATCCAAGAACGCAAAAGGCGCCTTAACCCAAAATTCCAGTACACGTGGTCCAAAGATTTAGCGACGGGTATAGGGGGTTAAGGATCGGATGTATCAATGTCGAATATTTGTTTTTTGTTTTTTTTCCACTTTTTCCCCTCCACCCTTGGTGTGCTGTTAGGTTAGTAATGAAGAAAAAGAGTTTTGTTCTCCGATCTCTCGGGTCACAGAATCGAGTATCCGATTCACCCGTTTTAATAGAAAGGGGTGGGTTCTGGGGGAATTTGCTGCAATGTTGGTGAAGTAACCGGGCCAACATCAGGGTGGCTCAACGGACCCCCGCCCGGATCTGGTAATGAGTTGTCACCTCATTCCTATCGAAGTTGTGGTCACCTTTGTCTTTCTCCCCAGCTCCAGGGGGCTGCACTGTACTCGTAGCGTGCTTATCTACCCATTTTCGAATCCTTGGTGTAGTATAGTACAATTGCACTCACCCCGGAGCATATTAGCAAGCAAAGAGCCTCGTCTCTCGATTAAGTACGAGTATCACGCTACCTCGCTGGTCGGGGGGTCTCCGACTTGACTAGAGACCCAAAGCGGGGGACATGAAAATGGGTAATATCCACCGGGATAGAGCACTACCATACCAAGCGGCCCGGGTATATCAAGTCTATGTGCCTTTTCCTAGAAGTTCTCTAAACCTAGAAGCCCACAACCTCTCTTGGCTGAGGGTATTTGAAAGTGGCCGGAAATTTTATTGACAAATATCTCGGGAACCTTGCACCGGTATCTCCCGGTACCTTTTTTTTTTTGCAAATGTCATCATATGAAGTGCCTGTGCAGGCTGATGCCCTCTCTCAGTGCCGGGTGAAACCCCACCGCCTAGTACAAATGAGGAAATCCTCACGACATATTCTCAACAACAGCTAACTCTAGATTACGCGATGACGACCGCTGGACATTGGTGTGCCCAGCTCAGCATAAGGCAATAGCCACCGGGAGCAACCCTTCCGGTTCATTGTGTTAGGCACGGGATAGGTTTGGGGGGGGGGGGCAAAGTCAGGATTCCCCATGAACCCGAAAAGTCTTCCAAATGTCGTGATGCCCCATAGGGAATTATTCCTATCGCAATGGGAACGATTATCCTAGTGTAAGGGAATCGGGAAAAATATTATCTATCGAGAGAAAGGTGACAGAAGCGTGCACTTAGGATGGTTCCTGAGAGAACACACATCTTACCCCAATCTCGCAGTAGTCTTAGGACCTCACTCGTTAAGCATCTCCCGGAACCTCAATACATAGATCTAAACCGAGCCCCCTAATTCTAAGCCCCTGTATTCAAGCGTTTCCCCCTTGATTTATCTTATCTCCTTTCAAGATTTATTTTTTTTGGATACATAGGGAGATAGATATTATTGGAAGAGTATGACAAAATAGCACAACCGTACATGGAGCGGAATGTAATGGAGGGCTGGTATGTAAGAACTGCAGAAAATTATGATTATAAAGATCGTTCCCTCACTCAGCGTCCTATCTAAGCCAACGGCAAAGACATGAGTACAGTACAGGTAAACATAATGAAAGTATCTTAATTCTTCCATGGATCACCGCATGTCCCCCAAGCTCCTCAGGGCAGGTCCCATCCCTCCGCGCACACCCGTGATAACTAAGAAAACACATCCGGAAAAACCTCCCCCTAAACTAGTGACAAAAGAGACAACCTCTGGAATCCCGGAAATGCCCACCATCAACCACAACTCATATTCCAACCAGGATGCGGGATTCGGGCCAAACACCATCCACTGGGCCTTGGACAACTCTCTTCCTTTGACTGCATCTCTCTTCCGGTTTTTCAAATCGTCCATTGCTACCAACCCACGATTCTCAACTAAAATAGACGTGCGTTTCGGCAGCCATCGGTTGCAGCCCCGTGCGGTATGCGTAGCGAGGACTGAAAGTCATGTACTATCACTCACCTTGTACCACCTTAAAAATGTAAATACTCGCTTTTCTGTTTCTCAGTTTCTGCACCCATCCCCTCTTGGCGGGGACTTGGCTCCAACCCGACTTCCGCAGGATTGTGGGTACAGTAACCGCTAGCTGAGCTTGATCCGCATAATTCCTGCCCCCGCATCCTTTTAGACCTTGGATAAATCTGGAAAATTGGTGTCATGTCTGCTGATGCTGGGGCAGTAGTGATTGACGGTGCGGAGCGCTTGGTGATTATTTAGAATTGCATAGGTAAATTTTCGGTGGCAGTGCTTGCTTTGGGCCTGAATATGATCTCACTTTTTTTTTTGGAGGGTTCATCCTCGAATTAAATTGAGCGGAGGCGGCTATCGGGGAGTCTTAGCTCAAAGCCTTCAAAAATCCAGGACTGGCACCGATACTACATGAGACGTGTCTAATCATGGGGCTGAGTGGGTGGACGGGTTTTCTACCCAAGGCTTGTCACCTTAGGTTGGGATCCTGGTTTTTCAGTCTTAGAACGGGACCGGATAACCGACGATATCAATGTGTCTGGGCAAATATACCTCTGCAAGCTCTGGCGAGGACTAGACTCGGGTTACCTAAAGAAGGTGGCAAATCTTCTAAGCCTCGCGGCATTTCCCGAGGACTTAATCCTCTCACAATGAGAGAGGTTACGGGAATAAGACAGTAGGGGCTATATTTTCCGGTGGGTAGGGGTGATATAAAACCTGTAATTGGGATGATTTCTGAGGGACACAAGGCGCCACTCCCTAAGCGGGCAGCAATCTTGGGACATCACCGATTAATCTTCCGACGCCCCGGTACAGAGATCTAGAATAAGCCAACGCAGTCAAGAGCCTCCTTCTTAGGTTATTTTAGCTCCTTTACGAAATAGAGCGGTCCGCTAGAGACATAGGCCTTATTGCGGGAGGATGGCGATTTTATCATGGGTATATGGTGGGGTATCAAAAGGACTTGACCAATACAGAGGAACTGTTGAAAGAGCATGGTCATAAACTTTGTTTTTCCCGCTCGGCGCCCTACCCAAGCTACTGGTAAAGATATGAGTATAAAGAAATCATAATGAAAGTACCCTATTTCTTTCATGGATCAGGGCGCGTCTTCTTAGTTCCTCCGCCAGTGTCCCCCGTGCATACCTGTAGTAAGGAAGGAAAGACATAACTAGAAGAACCTCTCCGCGAATCACCAGCAAAGAAGCTCCTTCTAACATTCTAGAAATCTCTACAGCCAACTACAATTCACTACCTTTCGCTAGCAACTACAACATGGAAGCGGTATTCAAGCAGAACACCAATTTCTGCAGCGCTGGAAAACTTTCTTCCTCTGACTGCATTTCTCTTTTAGATTTTTCAAATAGCTTATTGCTACCAACCATGACTCTAAGGTACTGTATGATAGTATAAATGTGTGCTTCGGTAACCATGGGGCGGGAACCTCGTGCGGTTTTTTGGGGACCGAGGACTCCGAGTCATGTTCTATCACTCGCTGTATACCTCATTAAAAATTTATCTTCACTTACCTATTTTTGCACCCTCCCCCTTTAGAAAAACCTTAGTTCCAACCCGGCCTCCGTCGGATTATAGGTGCAGTAACTTCCAGTAGACCTTGAGCTATCTAACCCCTGCCCCTGCCTTCTTTTTGCACTAACTGTATTTGTGTCCATAGTCTAGCGAAAATGAGTGTCATGTATGGCAAATTTTGAACGTGGATAGTGGGAAACGATAGCAACGGCAAAACGGTGGAACGGAACGCCAAGAGTTCACACACGAAACCGATGGCACAATTCAGGAGAGTGGAGTTCTCTTTTTCGTCTACTTAACTAGCAAGCGGTAAAGACAGGAGTCTATATCAACCACAAAGCCTTCTTATCCTCCCATGGGCCACCACACATGTCCATGCTATTTCCCGTATGCCTCCCCTTCCTCTTGCTCTGACTTCCGTGCTAACAAAGGAAAGGCAAACTCCCACTGTCCGTAGCCTCCGGAGATCCAACACTCTAGGCATGTGACTTTCCGGTTTTCCTCACAACCTTTCCGCTTTCCTTCGGGAGAAATTAATCCAAAATCTCTGTGCATCCCTGCCGCCAAAATTCTTTCCCCAAAGCCAAAAAATGCCTAGGGTGCGTTCCCAAAGCTATCCGAACAAAGAAAGCAACGATCGTGAGAGCATGCCGAGCAGCGCCTCGTGGTTTCTAGCGGTAGCTTATATGCTGGTGCTTGGGCGGCAGTGATTGACCTTGTGGAGCGCCCATCGTCTGGAGTCCCGGTATCGCTCTGGTAGATAGGTAATTATTTGGCGAGCTGTGTTTGCTTTAGCCCTGAATAAATCATTAATTATTGGAGGATTTACCTTGCAATGAAAGCGGTCAGCACGGTGATCGGGGAACCTGGGGCTCAAAGCCTTCCAGAAGGCAGGACAGATATGAGACGTAGCTGGTTGATATGCTGGTTGGATAGCGCCTTCATACCGGTGCTGGGTGATGTCCGCTATCAGCGCATCTACGCAAACCTGCCGTTGCCAAGCTCTGGGACGCTCCTTGAATCAGCACTGTGTCCGCCACCGAACGACGTCTATGAGCGCGGCCACTACCAGTGTTGCCTTGATGCATTGGCCCGTCCTGACCACAACTATGGTCAGTAAAAGAGGGTAATGGGGTTATCGGTGGTTATGCTTCTCTTGGCAAACCGCTACAAGGTTGGCCGTCATTTATGATAAAAGTCACAATCATGCCAAGGTTCCCGCCGATTACCTGGTTTGGAGGGGCAAAATTGGATTTCCAATCCTCAAATGTGTTACCCATCCATGTTTTCTTTCACCACCAAATGGCAAGGATGCTGGACTTTCTCCGGTTCGACTTCTCAAACCCTAACCGCAGTCTTACAGCAATGGCTCTTGCGGTGCTGGGGCTTGGCTACGGGTCATGGCATAATGGGGGTGTCCAGTGGCCATCAAATTCTAGGGGTGACGGTTGGTCACCGCCGACCCTAACCGCTGTCCGTGCGCGATGCCAGCGGCTGTGCGCACATGGCTGGGTACCCAGTCTTTACCCATTCCAGGGAGAGATACCGATAGCGGTATGACAGAGAGACTTCAATGTGGGGCCGGATTCGGGGCTGTGGAGGAGTGAGAAGTAGATGTCCCTAGTGAAGGGGTTCGCCTCCTACATTGTGAGAAACACTGAAGCAGAATAATATTTTCTTTGCCGATCAGGGGAGTTTCCTTTTACGAGAGCGGCCAATTTGGCCTCGTGATATATAAATTTATTTTCAATTGCAATAGAGTGAATGTGGTTTTCACCGTTTAGTTATGAATGTGGGGGTGTTGGGTGTTCCTTTTGTTACTTGGGTTTTCCGGATCACGCTTTAGGGAGTTTGCCATGATTTCACCTGTAGCCTTAGGGTAACAAATAAAGTCGCGGATTTAACCAAAGAAGAAGAAAGAAATGGATCTGCTCTCACCTACGGAGGTATCATACCTGGTACTTGTACTCGTACAAGTTACAGCACCTAAGTTTTGTACGCTCTATGATACAAGCAAGGGGTGCTGGGCTAGCGCGGGTATTGGCGGCGAATTGGGCAATTTCCAGTGAAAATTTCCTGATCTGGGCTCAAGCTTTCCCAATTCGCGTTAAGTACCCACAGCCAGCCAAACACCCTTGCTTGTGGAACACACAAAACTTGAGAGCTGTACCTCAGTATCGAGTAATTTGCCGTATGGGTGCGTGGCCGGTGTCCTGTCGTCGTGGGGCTCCGTTCGGAGGGTGTCCGCAGTGAGCGCTAAGGGATGTGCTCGGGCTGGCCCGTAAACAATGGGAGGCCTGAAAACCAGGGTCTAAGTTACATGGTCTAACCGGAGCGAGGGCTGGTATACATAGGCAGCTTGAGATCTATTTCACTTGCACTTGTTCGTGGTGACTGCCCGTTCTCAAAATCCTCCTAGCAATCAGGATTATCAACTCTATCGAATCCAAACAGATTGCACCGCGCCATAAATCTCTACCGCAAAGATGGATTCAAGCACGGGATTCTTTCAGTTCATATTTTCCGAGCGCCCGAGAGATTTTAAAGCGGCATACGAATCATTGGATCACAAACCATACCAGATCTTTGACATTCTCCTGAGCGAGGAGCGCTTCAAAAATTTCTTCTCAAGGACTGAAGTCTATGGAGCCAATCTTGCGAACTTGTTAACTCAATTCCCCAATTTCCAGAAAGATAATTACAGGAGCTCGCTATTGCGAGAAATCATTAGAGCCTTTACTCTGTCATTGCTCACCGAAACCTTCGACGATGCAAAATCCAGTAGCGCGATAGCAAGAATTCTCGTCTCGGTGGTGAAATTATCGGACCCAAGCACTTTAGGGAAGTTTGGTGTGAGATTGGGAGCTCTCCCGGGTATATTGCGGATTTTGATTGAGAAAGGGCACATAAGAGAATTGACCCGAACTCACAAACAGTGCTTTGAAGGGCTCATTTCTGAATCTCAGGCCAGGGAACAGTGGGTCCGATTTATTATGGATCTCTGCAAGGACTGTGGGGTTCACGGGTCGAGGCCTAAGAGAATCGGCGACGTGGAGTTGGCCAAGTTCATTCGCACCGTTCCTTGTGAATTTTGTCCTGACATTTCCTCCAATCGTGGGCTGAGCCAGACTTTTGTGGGGGAGCCTTCGCGGGCCCGGAGAGACTCTTATCAACCAAATACAGAACCGAATGCATTGGAACACCTCTTGGGTGAGCCACTGGGACCATGGAAGATCATTCTTTCACAGCGGGCCATGGAGGATCTGGAAGAAGTGAATGGTCATGGTACTTGTTCACCAGCGGGGGGTTTTTTTTTGGAGTTTGCTGACGTGGGTTAGGCGACTTTGAGAGTGTTCGACGCAAGTTATACGAGCTCGCCTCCGGGGACTGGGCTGGGGAAAAGATACTCCTCCGAGAAACGTGGGGCAACGCACTAGGCTATCGAATCCCGTTATTCAGAGCTCTCTACGCAGGCGAGCATTATATATTATGGCAAATTGATGCGGAATTTGATGAAAGGTTTGGCGAAGACTACCAGGTTATAAAAGGTTCGGATGCCCGTAAAAATAACCTCATGAGTAGAGAGCTAACAGAGAGTAACCGTGGTTTAGTATGGGCTGTCGGAAAGCCCCCAAATGTATGCACTCCTAGCATGACAAAGGTAGGATGAAATTAAGATGAAGCAGGTCGACAGGATTGGTGCACATGTCCGCCGGGCACAGCAACCCTATACGGAAGCTCGAGTGGAAGCTTGCAGCCTTTTTGACGGGTCGCGGGGGATTAGGTATCCGGCAAGGGTATTCTTGGACGGCGAGGAAGAGGACCACGGCTATACAGAGTTGCTCGATGGCACTAGCGATGACGATTTTGGCGATTCAGCTCAGCTAGGTAAAGTTGAAATAGCCCTGCTAGAATGTTCTTCCATAAGAATACTAAATTAGTGGTTAAAAGCAAAATTTTATAGTCTCACTACTACTGTTCTGGATAATATTGCCGCTGCACCTAGAAGGGTGGCTTATCCAGTAGCCATATCAAAGGTGGAAGCCGAAGTGGTGGATCATTTCGCAACACCAGCATTCATTCTTGGGAGAAGTGGGACCGGGAAAACCACCTGCTTAGTCTATAAGTTAGTGGGAAGGTATTTAAGCAGCAGGAAGAATGGAGAACCTTTGAGACAAGTATGTGATTGCGGCATGTCTGAGATTGGCCATCCTCTGAGGGTATAAGGTTGGCTAGGCTAACAGCCATAGGTATTGCTTACGAAGTCAAAGAGATTGGCGTCGAAGTTAAGAACTAATACCGGCGGATTAATTGAAGCGAAATTGGGAGAAATGAACGAGCCAGCTGAGGGCAATTGTGGCAAAAATGGTGACTTCGATGACAATACAAAACAGCAATTCTCATCGCTCGGAGATGCGGATTTCCCCCTGGTATGCACTTTCGATTACTTGTTAAGTCTTATTGAAAATAGTATTAGGTTCGTTACTCTCTTAAACACTTCTCACGCAGTAGGCATACTAAACCGCCTTAGAGCACAGGAAACCCGGGGAAGATACATGAAAATGGACAGTTCTAAATGCGCCCGCGAGATTGACTTCAGGAAGTTCAGCATCGAGTACTGGGAACGCGTGCCCCCAAAATTAAAGAAGAGAATTCCTAAGGGTTTAGCATTTCTCGAAATCATGGGAGTCATCAAGGGATCGGTTACGCCGGCTGCAGACTTTGAGCCTTTATCCCGGGGAGATTATTTAGGAAAGCGATGGAGACTGGCTCCGAATTTTGCCACAGAGCAGGAGAGAAGCACAGTTTACGACATATATGAATGGTATGAACGGGCTAAGAAGAAGCGGGGTGATATTGATCAGGCAGATAGAGTTATCAAAGTTATAAGGACTTTGGAGGCATTCAAGTCTTCGGAGATATCTGAAGATATTGAATTCGAACGGAATATCCGAAGGATACTACACGAGATTTATGTGGATGGTTTGCACCTCGGGATCAAAAATACTAGCTTTAGGAGGGGTTTAACAAAAAGCAGAGGTCCAGGACCAGCGAACATCGGAAATAGATATGCTTTTGACGTTAGTGGAATATCCTCGGCGAATCCATTTCGGTATGTTTCTCTCTATCTTCTGTTTTTCCACTTGGTCCTAGGTTCTCATCAGCGAACAGCAGGTGATGCGGCCCAGTGTATATCCAAGGACGCTCTATTCCGGTTTGAAAATGCGAAAGCCTTGTTTTACGAGCGTTTCAGGGGCACCACTAGCAGCACCAGAGACCTAAGGCCAACATTGAAGAAATTATTGCACAACTTTAGATCTCACAAGCAGATTTTGAGCGTTGCTTCCTTAGTGATGGACCTCTTGTACGGTGGTGCGTGGCTCCTCAGCACCTTCTTCTATTATCCATAGTACTTATAGGGTAATTTAGGCTTTCCCGAATTGGTGGATGAATTGCGTCCTGAAATCGGGAAGATTCCCGGACCTAAACCTACCCTTTATAGTAAGATCACCCTTGCACGAACTACCGTTTTACCTGGCTAATTTTTGGAGTTGGGGACAACATAATAGAGAACCTGAAGATTGTGGGGGGAATGGGGGCCCCTCAAACATCGGATAACGGGCACATCAAGTTCCAGGAATATGGAGAAGTTCGTGTTATTCTAGTGCGGGATGAGGAAACACGTGATAAACTTCGAACGGAGCTTGGGAGCTCCTGGTTGGTATTAACAATCCTCCAGAGCAAGGGCATGGAGTTCGAGGATGTTTTCCTCTATAATTTTCTTAGTACGGCCTCATATAGCGGTAATTTGGATATCTTGGAAGATCTCTTCAAACGCAGGTATTTACCGGGTAAGGTTCACTCCATAAAGAAATTCTGTGGGGGGAGGGTCTATATTACGTACTAATCCCTTGTAGTTTCGAAAGGCTCACCTCCGAAAGGTTATTCAGACTGGGTGAAAAACAATATTGTGAGTAAAGGGTGACTTAAATCATAAAATAGTTGCTAATATCGTGGCAGGCGCTCTGCTCAGAATTGAAGGTAGATGGATAGTCGTGGGATCTTCGTCTTGGACTTCATTAATTCGCTAATCTTATGCGGGCGTGAAGAATTTATATGTCGGAGTGACTAGAGCTCGGAACCGCCTATGGATACTGGAAAGTAACACATGTGACCTGGGCCCGGTGGTACGCTTGTTCAATCAAACGGCAAATCAGTTAAGACCACGTCGCTACCCAGAACCCATACTAGAGATATTAGCAGAACAAGATATAGGAGTATGTCCAGAACTCCCGTTGGATTCGCCACTCTAACATCCATAGACTTTGGAGCTGCATAGGCGGTTATCGACGGGAAGGACCATCAGTGCTTCTCGGTGGAGAGAAATGGGGTATCAAATGATTGATGATCAGCAATACCCTGAGGTTCGCTAGTAGATGTTACGTTTTCAAAGAATTAGGCTGATTATTTCTCTATTAGGCTCTACGCTGCTTCGAGCAGGCTGAATATTCTAGTGGCATTACATTGACGAATGCCTATATTAACGAAGAAATTGGACACACCAACAGGGCTCACCAGTCCTTTGAAGTGGCCAATGGTTATTTCATGAAGGCATCAGAACTATTCCTACAAGCCGGTAGCGTGGCGAAGGCGGTTCAATGCCGGAAGGAAGGAGGCGATCTGAAGGGTGCGGCAGGTGAGCATATCCCAAGGAACCATTTGAATATCGAGGCTTAAATGTTACAGAGATTCTTGCCGATAACGGAGAGTATGAAGATGCTGCCTGGCTTTCAGCAGAACTTGGATTGTTTTCAAAAGCAAGCGAGGTATATACGAAACTTGGTAAGCATGGGAAGGCGCTTGCGGGATATGCTCGCGGGAAACGGTTTGCATCGATGTTGGACTATCTCGAAAGGTTTATACCAGATCCCCTTTTCTGCTTAGTTCTCAGCGCTCAGAGTGGCATGATGGGATTGGCTAACCACTAGGAACAATAGGTTTAAATCGGAAATTGAGCCTTGTTGTTGGAAACAGTATGTTCAGCTCCTCTACTTAGGGGAGTTTGGAGAGAGCGATACGATTCCGGACGAGCATGAGAAACGGGTTCTGAATCTTATGGGATCCTTAAAGGAGAAGGAAATGGTTTTTTCAAGAATCCACTTGATGAACAAACTTTTCGACTTGCTCAGCGCTAATAGCCGATACATGAAGGCCTACGAGGTTGGGGTCAGTTCTGGGCTCTTAGGGAGCTCTATCCGGTTGCTTGGGGACAAAATCTGGTTAAAAAATCCAAACTGGGGACAAGGGGCACAGCTGAACGTGATGTGTAAGTACCTGCAAGCAGAACATATAGCAACCAATTCTTGGCTCGGAACCGGAGAAGACAAGTGGAGCCACGAAGTTCTACGAGCGGTTACCGGGAGAGGGAGTCCGCAGATCGATTCATTTGTCAGAATGTGGGGGGACATCAGCCAAGAGCTCAATACTTTTGTTCTGGGTCGGTGTAAGACTACTATAGCGGTAGGAAGATTTGATGATCCGCAGATTGCTGGATATGTGGATATTCTGGTTTGTTCCATTCAGATGCTTATACGGTGTTCACCTCTAACCGGGCAGTAGGTCACGAGGAGTACATATGCCAACAATGAATTCCGGCTTCCGCTTGATCATATCGAGCGCGTGCTTGAAGATTTGAGGATAATCTCTTCACATGGGGCGATCCCATCTCCGGCTCGGCTCTATTGCGGGATTTATGAGATGCCTCGTCAACCGGGCAAACACGTTGTCCTGGACTGGTCTCCACTCCGCGAGAATTCTAAACCGCGACTCCCACTTAGGCCGGTGGATCTTGAATCACTTAGGGGCGGAATATTAAGGCTTATTTTACGGGATATTTCTTCTCTCGTTTCGCTTGAGGAAGAGTTGCGAATAATGTGGGGCGGGGGTGGGGGACCTCAGTTCTTGCCCCCACTGACACCGGGTATGAATAATCTGAGAGCTTCAATTTCATTCAGTACAATACCTTACTTATGTGAATGGAACTTAGCGGAAACCCACTGCAAGAAAGTAGAGGTAGGCTCTGTACTCGTGCATTGGAATTCTACTCTCAGACTACTCGCTTACAGTAGACCAGTTGCTGGTGCGCCTTTGCCTAATATTCTCGGAATATGCTGCAATGACCAAATGCGTTAAATGGGCCAATGATTCGGCGCCGCAGAATTGTAAGATATTCCACCCTACCCCGCCATGGAGTCATCCCTTCTGACGTAATACAGGGAATCAGAGATTTTGGGCGACGGCTCTGCTGGAGCAAATGGAGTTCAAATCCTCGTACGAGCAGAACATCGGAGTTCTTCTTGACACCAAGTCTGAGCTCAAGACCCAAATGAAAAAATATCGCGTATTGTGCTCAGGCTTGTGTGGGAATGACATAACAGAGCATAGGATAGAATCTGCCGTTGAAATGGGTCTGAGGACTTGTGTGTCTTCGCTATTAGCTCAATACCAAACATCGCTATTTCTAGGTATGTGGAATTACACACGGGGATTTTTGCAGGCAGGCATAATCGTACTCTAACAAGCAACAGACTATAGAGGCCAGTGGATGAAAACTTTTCTGGCAATGCGCACCCGGTTAGTTGACAAAAGGAGCTCGGGCTTCAGATCCGGCTCCGAAATGGTAACTTTAGTCAATCGGCTGGTGTTGGAGACCGAAGCTGGGGATTTTCCCGGAAGATTTGTACTTTTGGCTCATCCACTTACCTTATGGTTTATCTGCTAACTTTAATATAGTGCGAAAATATTTATAGGACCCTAGGTGCTCTTGCGAGACTAAGAAACGCGCTAAACTTTTACTTAAGCTCCGTCATCTCTCTTTATGAGGAGTTGACCCTATCTTTGGTAAGAAAGTGATTGGTATATGGGGCTTAGCACTAACGGGATTAGATTTTCCTGGTACGGCCTTACCAGTTTCTCATTCCCGATTCCTGGCATCGTTTATATTTCAATCGATGGGAAAGAAAACATCGGTCACCCTCGGTTCTAGAATGCTTCCTGTACCAGCAGTGCCTGGCGAAAGTTTGTTTAAGCTTCTGCGAGATGGTTATAAATATAGAGGGAAAGGGTACCAGCGAGATTGCTTTGGGTCGGCGAAGTGTTAACCTGATTGTTGTCTGCCTTATCAACTTGGGGACTTTTTACCCACGACCACAGGAATATCGTGAACTATGGAAGAAGTCACAAGAGGTTTGCCTTTCCTCATAACATGGGCTTGGGGGCTGCGGCACGCTTATTCTTTACTCAGGTTTTCTGCTGTGGCAGACTAAATATCAGTGGTATCCGGGAGCTTCCTGAAGATGAGCTCATAGTGCACCTGGCAAAAGCCTTCCGGGAGTGCGGAGGGAGCGATACAATCCGCCTTGTGAGGGGCCACCAAAGATGGGTCGACTCTTTTGCCGGGATTCCGTTGAAAGAAAACGGGATATCCGTAGTGAGAAGCAGCCCTGTAAAAGAGAAAAAAAGACATCTATGGGGAACGAGCGAATGCAAAGTTACAAGGCTGCTCAACGCCGCGTATATTTTAACAGCTTTTTGGAAACTGAATGGGCCGAGATATGTGGAGAAGATGAAGGTACGCAGGCAGCGCTATGCTGCACGTATTTTGACGGCTTTTTGGAGACGAAATGGTCCAAGTTTCTTGAAGAGGATGGAGGAACGCAGGAGGCAGGTCAACGCTGCACGAATTGTGACGGCCTTTTGGAAACTGAATGGGCGGAAATACGTGGAGAAGATGAAAGGGCGTAGGCAGCGCCACGCTGCGCGTATTTTGACAGCTTTCTGGAGACGGAACGGGCCAAGGATTTTGGAGAGGCTAGAGAGACGCAGAAGGGAGCTCAATGCAGCACGCAAGCGGTCATCATTTTGGAAACTGGACTGGCTAAGGTTTTTCCTGAAGCGATGAGGAAACACAGGAGGTACTTTGCCCCGGAGGTGCGAATATTCTCGGAATCATTCTTCGCTGGTGGATATGAGAGACAAAAGCTCCACACATTGATGGCGGTGCTTCGTTTTTTTTCTATTTTTTTCCCTTGTTTCTTTCTCGGGGCCGCTATGTCAGATTAGTAATGGGGGGGGAGGTTTACTTTTAATCTCTTGGATCACGGGATTTAGTATTTTTGTGGTTTACCTCAACATTAACAAATCCTAAAGAACTTTGCTTGAATAGATATTGGTGAAGAAACCAGGTCATCAGCCTTACTCAGCCGCCTTCAATGATGATCTCGTAAGAGGTTATTAGTACTAAAAGACTTTCGGAGGTGTTACGGCCTTTTCCCTCCACCCCAACTTTATGAAGATGCACTCGTACGCTCCACTCCAATGCAGGCGTATCTGACTATCCAATTTTGGGACAATACAATCGCATTCGACCCGGAGCATATTGGCAAAAAAGAATAAATTACCTCCCATTTTGATTAAGTATTACACTACTTTTTCGCTCAGGGAAGTATCTGGCTCGACCAAAAACCCGCGGCGGGGACCTGAAAACTTGAGGACCGTAAAGCATCCACAGATGCTACGCTCACCATATCAAGTGGCCGAAGCATACCAAGCCTATCCGCCTGCTATGAGATCGCACATAGCCAGAATTCCAGAGGCTTTCCTGGCCGGGAATATCAGGAATTATGCGGAGAGGTGCACCATCCCGTATCCCAGCACTTGGGTCTCCCCAATAGCTTTTTCACAAATGTTAGGAGAAATCACACTTGCACCGGTGAGTGGTAATACGACCGGAAGGATGCCCGGCTTCAGGTCCAAGCAAGGAAAACCTCACGAACAAGTTTCTGTTGGATTGCATACCTCGTATACGGTCAGGAGATATGCGGTTGTTGGGCTTGAGTCTTTGGTGTGAGCCGTGGTTAGGTTTATGGTCGTATAATAGTTTGTCGCTTTTACACACTCTGCCGGTAAGCAAAAGGCAGGAATTTCCGATTTGAGACTCCTTGGCGTCGCGCATCAGGTGTCGGGTGTGCCGGGGATATCGAACGGCGGGCTCGGAAGCTATGATATGGTTTTCTTCGAGTAGCGACAAACGCGAGGGCGAGTTGTGTAAAAAATCGAGTCAGCTTAATGGCGTATTCGGCTTTCTTGGAAGGGACGGAGTTGATCGTTGGGCTTAGGTGAGTTTTTTTTTTTTTTCCGAATTTCACTCTGGGAGGTAAAATTTCCAACCCCGAGTTTGGGCACTTTTTTGCAAGTCTTATTTTTCCCTATAACTATTATACGGTTTGCTGTCGTGCCGGGCCCCTCTAGATTTCCAAAACCATATCATACCCTACCACAGATCACTAGTTTCTGCCACCAAACCCCGGGCTTAACTAACACTCGAACAGGCTATTAATTTGTTTGCACTTTATGTAGGTTGGCATTGGCCATTTGGTTCACCATTCATCCCCTTCGGCGTTGGGCGCGGAGCACCAGTTTTAATGGCTTGGATTATTCTGGATGTTTTGGGGTCATGGGGGATTACGGAGGACGCTGGTTTTTTAGGGGACAGTGTGTTTCATTTGGTTTCTAAGCTGTTGGTTATGCGGAGATATATATATCCTAGTCTATCCTTAGCCAGCGTCTCCACCCATTGTCCAATTTACCCATTCTTATGCACCTAGCTGCACTTGGGGTCCAACTGTGGCCGCACTTTCACTCCTTCATCCTTCCGTTAATTCCATAGGCCCCGCCAGTTTCAGTAGCCTACAGTATCACAACCCCTAGGCATAAATGTTTCCTGACTAATCTAATGCAACGGCCACCAGAAGCAAGGTTTCCAATGGCTCGGGCTCTTTCAGTCAACTCGCAACCCTAAAGTATGCCCGCACCGCCGAGGCCCCCCCCCCCCCCGGCCTACATTGGCCCGTTTCCGTAGAAACCACTGGCTAGAGACATAAACCCTTCCTCGGATAATACGAACCTCCACTCTCGTCATCCATCTACCCAGCGGATTCCATGCCCCATTCCGAGATTTTGGGGTTACCATTCTAGCCAACGGGTATTCAACGAGTTTAATATATCCTAGTACCGACGATCCAAAAGGGGGAGCATTTTTCCATGCTCAACTCGGGTATCAACTGGAACTCGGTGGCGATAAGCGGGATGAGAGGGGGTGAACGCGGGTGAAAGCATAAATGCCGCTTGAATCCTGCCTTGCTGTATCACAATCAATCACTCGACCAGCCTCAGTTCTGGTGAAACATTCTCCACGATATTCAGCATTCATTCTAAGTGAGTGGTACGTCATAATAGAGAGTATATATATTGCTATTTGACCTTCTTCCTAGCTTTTTTCCCAGCTCTCCTTACCTTAAGTTGACCCTACGGATCCGTTGGGATAATCCGGGTTACGATACGTCGGGTTGAGGTAGAGGAGGGCCCGGCCGGGGGCCCTAGGCGTTGCGGGAGAAAGTGACCAAAAGGATGGGGGTATAGTATCATACTGTTGCTGCCTCTTTCTCCGGCGGTTCTTTTGAGGAGAGGGTGGGTTTGTTAAGGCTTCGGCACACACTCTCCTAAACACACGAAACGGGACCCGGAAGAAGATATCAAAAGTGTACTATTATAAGTTTTCCAAACAAACCAGAGAGGGAGGGTAGGAAAGTCAAAGACCACCTTTTCATGAGTATCAATGGGCAACCAGGTGCCTTCCTTCTAGATCTGTCTCTCAACCAAGGCTCCCTCAAAGTCAAAATGTCTCGGTCAACTTCACAAGCATGAGATGCACCTCAGGCGCCATCTTTGTGTTTAAAGCTGTCAGATTTCTGGGTAATTCTTTTCACGAAAAAGGATTTTATGATGTTTTTTCTGTTTTCTGATAATTGCTTCTCTGATCAGGAGGAAAAAGAGGAGGGAGAAAGATAAAAAAATAAAAATAAACTGCCCGGCCCCGGGATGAACAACGATGGTCGAAGAAACCTTTCCTTCCTGGGAGAGAAAAGAAATACTGTTCCCCTTATCATACTTGTTGTCTCGCGCCCGCGTGTTTCCCTTAGGTGATTCCCCCCACCTTTTCTCCGCCACGCCACGAAAACAAAAACCACAGTCATCCTACCCACACTAAAACCCTATATCCCATGAAACCCACTGTGGCTATTTTTTCCTATAGCTCCCTGAAGGCGTATATAGTAGGAGAGGGAGGACAAGGTATACGTGGACTATTACACATCTAACGGTGGGTAAGTCTTCTTTCTATTTGACTCCCTCCCTCCTTTCTCGCATTGGTCTTTATTCGCTTCACCCCTTCCACCCATTTCCCACTGACATCGAACTCTCCCCTCTGTGTGTTGTGCTTGTTGTGATCTACGCCTTCCCCCTCCTCCCTCTTCGCTATACTCGGTTTGGCGAGGCCTTCGTCCCGAGCGCCTCCTTCCTCTTCCCACGGTTTCAACAAAAGTTTATTCACTTATCCGCTCCTGTCACCCCAACTTTATCTAGAGACCTTAGCTCCAACCTGGCTTCAGCCGGGTTATACCGGGGGGGTTGAGCTATCCATCCCTCCTACATCCGCTTCCTTTTCACACCTAGTCTAGGCCGGCCTGTTCCAGTCGGTTTCCTGGTGTAGCTGCCAATGGCAATGCTTAGATTATGTAATTTATTTATATAGCGGGGCTCAAGATAACCTACCATACCGTAGCCAGAGCTAATGTACAAGTAGACTTGTCTACCGGTACTCGCACTATAGTACGGTTTAGTACAGCTACAGTCGGACAAGGGTCAGGGTCCCAACTCAAACACCCCGATTGGGCACCTTGAGGTCAAACTAACTTACGATCCCCCTCCACCGCTTGAGTACAATACCAGACATTGACAAGGCAAATAGTAATACCGTATAAACCCGCTGTATCCACTATCGGGGATCGGGCCCCTTTGCCTTCGCAATCCGAGACAAACACCCTGTGAAGGAATAGTGTTTTCCAGACAAGGTATAGCTCGGAGAAGCAGGGCTTGCGAGATCTCATTAACCGATATTCGATATTTTGTTAACCTGCCGTGCTAAGTCTATTGTGGTTTAGTGGTGTGGTACAGTTGAGATCCCCGATAGAGGATACAGCGAGCTTTTACGGTACTGGTGCTGTGGGAAAGAAATAAAGAAGAAGAAATCTAATCAATAAACACCCTGCCTTTTGCACCTTTTCCATCTCAAGGACAGCCTCTACCCTTTCCGACATAGTCTCGACTAGAGTTTCAATAGAACAAGGAAAAGCTAGTTCAATACTGTGACTCCCCTCTGCACAACACCAGAAATCAGCTCCAGCAAACGCATGGCGTTTCCGGCAGAAAAGTGTTAAGAATTTCCCAAACTAATACTCTGTAATATTCTTGTTTTGACCGCTGAGATTGAGCTTTATCGCCTAGGGATTTATCCTCTTGATGCGCTGTTTTGTGCTTCAGAAACCTTCTTTTCTTAAGTGCTGACTAAGGGTTGGGGAAACGAGATAGCGGGGTTAGGGTTCGAGTAGTATCCGTTGATCTTGCGAAGACACAGGCGCAGGTGCCGGCGGCGTGTATTCCACGAACAGACATCCCAGCATGGCTAAAGCTAGCAATACAAGCTTGCCTCCAGGGAGAAAGGGCCCTTGTATCTGGGCGGGACATTGTTCTAACCATCGTTGATGCCGTAGATGTAGCGCTAGGGGTTCTGGTTAGGATAATACTTTTCTGGAGTTTAGTTGGGGTTGTGCGCGTTGCGACGCTGACCCATGCGCAGTACCGATACCGTACGAATGTGCCATTGCCGTGTGAAGGATTGATTGGAGCCTAGTGGAATTTAATTTAGTTGCTGTTCCTTTCCTCCCGTGTACTGTACTGTACAGGGATCCGCTCGCGAGGGCCCTCACAGACACGGTGGGCCTTAAGCCAAGGCTTCTTGGGGTCTAACCGGATCAACATATGGCAAAGACTGATCGCGCGGTCCGGGTCTATTTCCCTTGCTCTTTCACTCCCGATAGCTGCCCCTTCTTACGTGCCATCTTTTCCTGGCGACAAAGAATATTTCGAACCCACTGAATTCAAACTCACCCGACTGAGCCCTGCAAGATGTATTCAAGCACGGGGTTCTTTGAGTTCATATTCTCGGACAATCCGAAGGATCTCAAAGCTGCATACGAATCATTGGATTCCAAACCTTACCAGATATTTGACCTTCTCTTGAGCGAAGAGCGTTTCACAAATTTCTTCTCAAGAATGGGAGTTTATGGAAACAACCTTGCGAACCTGTTGAGTCAATCTCCTGGCTTCCGGAAGGACAGTTACAGTGGCTTGCTGTTACGAGAAATGATTGGAGCCTTTACTCTCTCATTACTCACAGAAAGTTTTGATGACATGAATTCTAGGGGTGCAGTTGCAAGAATTGTCGTCTCGGTGGTAAAGCTATCGGATCCAAGGACGATAGGGCACTTTGGTGTGAGATTGGGAACTCTCCCAGCGATATTGCGGGTTTTGATTCAGGAAGGGCACATAAAGAAGTTAGCCTTGACTCACAAACAGTGCTTTGAAAATCTCATCTCTGAATTCCAAGCGAAGGAGCAGTGGGTTGGGTTTGTTGTGGACCTCTACAAGGATTGTAAAGTTCACGGGTCGAGGCCCAAGAGAACCAGTGATGTGGAGCTGGCGAAGTTTATTCGCACTGTCCCTTGTGAGTTTTGTATCTCCAGCGCTCCTGCAGACCGCGGACATAGTAAGGAGCCTGTGAGGCAGCCTGCGGGGGTCCAGCGCCACAACTTCCAGCCGATCACAGAGCCGGACGCGTTTGAACACCTCTTAGGCGAGCCCCTGGGGCCATGGAAGATAATTCTTTCGCAACGGGCGATGGAGGATCTGGAAGAAACGAACCGTCAAGGTGCTCCTTCTATTAAGCTAAAGGTTTCTGGAAATCGCTGATATTAGCTAGGTGATCTCGAGAGTGTTCAACGCAAGTTTACCGAGCTCGCCTCCGGGGACTGGGCTGGAGAGAAAACACTCGGTAGGGTAGAATGGGGCAACGAACTCACCTATGAAATTCCACTATTCAAAGCTTTCTGCAATGCCGGTCATTTTATATTATGGCAAATTGATGCCGCTTTTGACGAAAGGTTTGGCAAAGATTACCAGGTTATAAAAGGTCTGGATGCCTATGGAACTAGCCTCATAGGTAGAGAGCTGACAAAAGTTAATCGCGGTTTAGTATGGACTATTGGCGAGCCCGAAAATGTGAGTGTTTAGCACCAAAATGATGCAGGTATGGCGATATTAAGATAGAGCAGCTCGATAAGATTTCTGTGTATATCCACCGGGCACAGCAAGCCTATACGAAAGCTCGAGTGAAGGCTTGTGAGAGAGAGGATTTGGATGGGTCACCGGGGATCAGGTATCCAGTGCAGGCATTACTGGATAGTGAGGAGAGTGGTATTATCGGGGCTGATGACGCCTTCAATGGGGATTTTGGTGGTTCGGCTGAACTGGGTAAAGAAACCGAAATACCGCTGCTTGAATTGTTTCATCGGAATGCTAAATCTGCGATTAATAGCAAAGTTTTATAGTCTTACTACTACTGTTCTGGACAATATTGCTTCTGCAGCCGGGAAGGTGGCATACCCGATAGCGATATCATCGGAGGAGGCTAGGGTCGTCGATCACTTCGTGACTCCAGCGTTCATTCTTGGGAGAAGTGGGACCGGGAAAACAACATGCTTAGTTTATAAATTGGCAGGGAGGTATCTGAGTAGTAGGGGGGATGAGCAGCCGTTGAGACAAGTAAGTGATTGCAGGATGTCTAAGATTATATTAAGATCTGAGATAGTGGTGCTGACTAAGAAAACAACTATAGGTCTTACTCACGAGGTCGAAGAGATTGGCGTCGAAATTAAGAGCTAATACCGATGGGTTGATTGCAGCGAGATTTGGCAAAGGGAGGGTGGTCTCTGAGGCCACATATGCCAAAAAGGACGATATTGATGAAAACACGAAAAAGCAATTCTCATCGCTCGCCGATACGGAGTTCCCACTTGTATGCACTTTTGACTATCTATTAAGACTTATTGAGAATAGTCTCAGGTTTGTTGCTCCACCTGCTTGAACTGTTGCTGTATAGCTGCACCGCTGAGCCACCTTAGAGAACGGGAGAACCGGAGCAGATACCTGACGATAGACAGTTCTAAATGCACCCGCGTGGTCGACTTTCGGAAGTTCAACATCGAGTATTGGGAACACCTGTCCCCAGGATTAAAGAAGGGTATCCCGGTAGATCTGGCATTTCTTGAAATCATGGGAGTCATCAAGGGATCAGTTTCGGTGGCCACAGACTTCAAGCCGTTATCTCGCGAAGAGTATTTGGGGAAGCGCTGGAGACTGGCCCCAAACTTTGCCTCGGAGCAGGAGAGAGGTGTTGTCTATGACATATACGAATGGTATGAGCGAGCTAAGGGAAGACGTAGGGATATAGACCAGGCAGACAGAATCATCAAAGTTATGAGGGCTTTGGAGGCATTTAGGTCTTCGGAGATATCTGAGGATAATGAACTGGAACAAAATATTCGAAGGATACTACACGAAATCTATGTGGATGGTTAGCTTTTCTGGATCACAACTACTAACTCTGCGAGGTATTAACAAAAGGGCAGAAGTGCAGGACCATAGAGCCTCGGAAATTGGTCTACTTTTGACCCTAGTGGAATATCCTCGGCGAATCCATTTCGGTATTGTGCTCTCTATCTCCTGTTCTTTCCATTTTGTCCCCGGTTCTCACCAGCGAACAGCGGGTGATACGGCCCAGTGTATATCCAAGGACGCTCTATTCCGGTTTCCAAATGCAAAAGCCTTATTTTATGAGCGCTTCAGGGACAGCACTAGCAGCACCAGAGACTTGATCCCAACATTGCTTCCCTTACGGCACAACTTTAGATCTCACAAACAGATTCTGAGAGTTGCCTCCTTGTTGATGGACCTTCTTTATAGAGGTGCGCTACTCACCTGAAGACTCCTGTGCCTCCAGCTATACTCACGAAGAGATCCAGGATTTCCTGAATTGGTTGACGAGTTACCCCCTGAAGTTGGGGATATTCCCGGCCCTGAACCTACTCTTTATAGTAACCCATCCTCCGCTGGTATTAGCCTATGCAGCTGATTTTTGAAGTTGGGAACAATATAACAGATGTCCTGAAGCTGCTGGAGAAAATGGAGAAACCTCGAGAATCAGACACCCGGAGCGGGAAGTTCCATGAATATGGAGAAGCACGGGTTATTTTGGTGCGGGATGAGGAAACACGCGACAAGCTTCGGACAGAGCTTGGAAGATCCTCGCTGGTGTTAACTATTCTCCAGAGTAAGGGAATGGAATTTGAGGATGTTTTCCTCTATGATTTCCTTAGTACAAGCCCATACAGAGATCGATTAAATATCTTGGAAGAACTTTTCAAACGGGATCATATGGGTGAGATTTACTTTACGGAGGGTATTATTTTGAGGGGAGGATCATGGGCTAACCGCTTTCAACCTCAAAAGATTTATCTCCGGGGGATGGTTTAGGGCTTGAAGGAGAAGGCGAGAGTAGTAGGGGGAGCAAATATGAACGTAGAGCTAGGCGGGGGGGTGGATATAATCTCTCTGCGCAAGTGCACCATCTAGATTGGGCGAAAGATAATATCGTGAGCAACTACCGATATATGGTAAAAGAGATGCTAATGGCGTCACAGGTCCTGTGTTCAGAATTGAAGGTAACCCAGTAGTAGTTCGCCCCTTGGTTTAACTTTCTTTTATTTGCTAATCCTAAGTGGATGTGAAGAATTTATATGTCGGAGTGACGAGGGCCCGCAACAAACTATGTTTACTGGAAAGTAACTCAAGTATATTGAACCCAGTTCGCCGCCTGTTCAATCAAACGGCAAGCTTGCTACTGCCGCGCAAGTACCCTAGCCCCATACTAAAGATTTTGGAACAAGATATAGGAGTATGCCCTAAACCCCGACTACTATTCCCTCTAACATCCTTAGGTTTCGGAGCTGCATACGCGGTTGTCTACAGGAAGGACCATCAATGCTTCTGAGTGGAAGGAGATGGGGTATCAAATGATTGACGATCAGCAATACTCTGAAGTTCGTCAGCACACCTTGTGTTTTCAATGAATAAGACTGATTATTTCTAGGCTCTACGATGCTTTGAGAATGCAGAGTGTCATCATGGCATTACATTGGCGAATGCGTATATCACCGAAGAAATTGGACTCACTAAGAGAGCACGGCGGCTGCTTGAAGCAGCAAAACTTCATTTCATAGAGGCATCAGACCTTTTCCTACAAGCCGGCAGCATCGCCAGGGCAGTTCAATGCCGGAAGGAAGGGGGCGATCTAAGGGGTGCAGCCAGTGAGTAAATCCCATGGGGTGTCCCAATATCAGGGCTTAAATGATATAGGAATTCTCGCCGTTAGTGGAGCATATGAAGATGCTGCGTGGCTTGCAGCAGAAGCTGGCTTGTTTTCGGAAGCAAGCGGGGTATATAGCAAACTTAATAAACACGGGAAAGCACTAGCGGGATATGCTCGTGGGAAACAATTTACAGGGCTATTTGAATATATTGAAAAGTCTGTACCAGGTCTCCTTCTCTAATTGTTTCCGGGACCCTGAAGGGGTGTTGCGGGAGTAGCTGACCAAGGGGAACAACAGTTTTGAATCAGAAGTTGAGCCATGCTGTCGGAAACAGTACGTACAGTTCGGCTATCTAAAAGTGTTCGCAGAGAGCGATACGATTCCCGATGAGTTTGAAAAACGAGTTATCAACCTAATTGGGTCTCTGCAGGAGCAAGAAATGCTTTTATCAAGATTTAACCTGATGAAAAAACTTTTCGAATTGCTCAGAACTAACGGAAAATACATGGAGGCCTACGAAGTTGGAATAAATTCTGGGCTTCTGGAGAGCTCCATCCAGTTGCTTAGTAACAAAATACTTCCAAGAAATCCAAATTGGGGACAGGGACCACAGCTAGGTGCGGCGTGTAAATTTCTGCAGGCAGAGCATATGGCGACCAATTCTTTCCTCAGAACTGGGGGAGGTGGGGGGATCCACAAAGTACTGCGAGCGGCCGTTGGGAGAGGGAGCTCACAAATCAATTCCTTTGTCAAGATGTGGGATGATTTCAATCGAGCTCTCGATAGCGCTGATTGGAACAAGACCAGTATAGAGATAGGGAAGCTCGAGGATATTCAGGTTGCTGGTTACGTGGACATTCTGGTTTGTTTCTGTGGGATGTTTATGCGCTCTTCAGCTCTAACCCACTCATAGGTAACGCGGAGCGCGCATCCGAACAACGAATTCTGGCTTCCGCTTGATCATATCGACCGAGCGCTTGAAGATTTGAGGATATTCTCTTCACGTGGGACGATTCCGCCTTCGGCCCAGCTATATTGCGGGATATACGAGCTCCCTCGTCAGTCGGGCAAATACGCTGTCCTGGACTGGTCTCCATTCTTTGATAACTCCGGGCCACGGCCCCCACATATCCCGGTGGATGTTGAATCGCTAAAGGATAAAATATTAAGGCATATTTTAGGGGACATAGTCCCTTCTCTTGCCTCACTTGATGAAGGGTTGCGGAAAATATGGAGTAGCAAATCCGGACGCCAGTCCGTATCCCCGCCGGCGCTAGGTAGGGACCACCCCCGAAAGTTCCATTTCATCGAGTATAATACCTTACTTACATGTAACTCAAGGGGAAACCCTTTTTGAAAAAGTAGATGTAGGTTCTGTGCACCGAAATTCTCCCTCAGACAGCTCACTCACAGCGTACCAGTTGCTAGCCCGCCTTTGCGGAATATTCTCTGAATTTTCTGCAATACTTAAGGGCAATAGACATCCTAACGATTCCTTGTCACGGAGTTGTGAGATCCCCCACATTATCCCACTCAGCTATCTTCATATCTGATATAGTACAGGTGACTACAGATTTTGGAGAGCGGTCCTTCTAGAGCAAATGGAGTTCAGATCCTCATACGAGCAGAGCCTTGAGGCGCTATTTAAAACCAGGACTAATTTCGTGGCTCATAACGGGAAATATCGGGCGTTATACTCAGCTTTGATTGAGGATGACACAACAGAATATCGGATAGAATCAGCTGTTCAAATGGGCGTGGGGGGTTGTGTCTCTTTGTTTTTAGCTCAATACCAAACCTCGCTATTTCTGGGTATGTGGAGAAGTGCACTAAAGTCTCTACGAACAAACAGAGTTGCAGTCTAACAAGCAACAGGCTATGATCGCCAGTGGAAGTTAGGGCTCCGAGAATTACGCGATCGGGAATGGAACAGGGGAAACTTGAGTCTCAAATATGGCTCGGAAATCGTAAATTTAGTCCATCGTTTTTTGTCGGAGACTGAAACGGGCGATTTTCCCGGGAGATTTGTATGTTTGGCTCAGCGACCTTCATTATGGTCGGTTGGTTAACTTTTAATAGTGCGAAAACATTTACAGCATCCTGGGTGCTCTGGGGAGATCAAAAAATTCACATAACTTTTACTCAGCATCCGTCATTTCTCTTTATGAGGAACTGGCCCTATCCTTGGTAAGAGAGTGATTTATATTCGGGTCCTGACACTAACAAGTGTAGATTTTCCTAGTTCGGTCTTTTGAGTTTCTCATTCCGGATTCCTGGCATCGCTTGTACTTCAATAGATGGGAAAAAAAATATAGGTCACCTTCGGCTCTCGAACGCTTCCGGTACCAGCAGTGTCTGACCAAAGTTTGTTCGAGCTTCTGCGAGATGGTTATAAATATAGAGGGAAGACGTTCTGGAGAGTTCGCTTTGGGCCGACGGAGCGTCACCTTAATAGTTGTATGCCTCATCAATTTAGGGACATTTTTCCCCCGACCTCTAGAATACGCAGAATTGTGGCGGAAGTCCCAAGAGGTTTGCTTTTCCACCCAACAAGCTCTTGAGGGCTGCGATTTGCTTATTTTCTACCCAGGTCTTCTGTTGTGAGGGGTTGAATGCTCGCGGTATCTTAGGGCTTCGAGAGGACAAACTCATAGGACGTTTAGCTAAAGTCTTCCAAGAGTATAGGGGGAACGATTTAATCCGCCTTGTGATGGGCCACTATAGGTGGGTCGACTCGTTTGCCGGAATTCCACTTAACAGAAACGGAATCTCGGTGGTGAGGGGCCACCCCATTAAACTAGGGAAAAGGCATTTATGGAAAGCGAGCAGGGACCAAAGCACGAGGAAGCTCAATGCTGCACATATTCTGACTGCTTTCTGGAAATTGAATGGGCCGGGATTTCTGCGGAAGATGAAGGAGCTCCGGAGGCGCCTTAGTGCTGCTCGTATTTTGACAAATTTTTGGAAAATGAATGGGCCGGGGTTTCTGGACAAGATGAAGGAGCGCAGAAGGTACTTTGCGCCGAGGTATAAATACTCTAAAAATTGTTGTCTAGTGGTGGATGTGAGAGAGGATAAAAATTGGATGTATTGATGGCAGATCTTTTTTTCATCCCTTTGCATCACACTTCCGTGAGGCTGTTAGATTAGGTTAGCAACGGGGAAAAGAGCTTTACGTTTCGATCTCTTAAGTTATAGGATTTAGCATTTTACCGATTTTTTTACCACTACCGGTAGCAAATCCTGAAGGACATGACCAAATACTGTTGAAGGAATTCGGTCAACACTAGCGTCGTTCGGACACCTTCTGTGACAATCCGGCAAGAAGCCGTTACCTTATTACTCTCGAGGCAGTTGCTGCCCTTGAACTCCTCCCCAGTTTTAAGAAAATGCACTCGTGCGCTCTACTAGAATACATTCATATCCTCCCATCTTTCAATTCAGGCCCATCACAATACCACTCACTCCGTACCATATTGGCGAAATGAGAGAAGTAAAGAAAAAGTAGGCTCATGTGCCAATTCAGCGTTGTGCTAGATCCCCCTAGAGAGTTTCTAGCTCGACCAAAAACCTACGGTGGGTGACCCAAAAACCGGATAACCATACTAAGCGATTTCAAGCACGAATACTAAATTTAAGTGGGCGAGGTTAACCAAGCATTCTCGCCTACTGCCGGTCCTCCAAGCCCCATAATTCCAAAGGCTGTTTTTTTTTTTCGCCGGGGGGTATTAGAAATTGAAGGAATGGTTTGCCAGCCCTCATCTCGAGAACTCCTCCTCCAGGTCTCCCAACTGCCTTTTCACCAAATGTTATGAGGTACTGGTATGTGTTAGCAAGAGGTGGTGACGGGAGAACGCCTAGCGTCCAGTCAAGGCGGGGAAATCCTCCCGACCGACTATCAACCGCCGACTCTGAGTTGCGGCATCGCGACACGTAGGCATCGGGGTTCCCCGCGAAAATCAAAGGAGCGGTCACCGGAAGCGGGACTTTAATTAGATGCGCCGGGCCTTGGCTGGGATAGGACGGGTTCTTGGTGGGGTTGGGTCCGGTCGGTTGGATTAGGGGTGGGGGAGGGGAACTAAACATGCGACCCGATGAACCTGACAAATCTTCCAAGCCTCGTGGTCCCTCCCCAAGGAATTATTCATATCATGGCGAGAGCGATTATCCGAGCATAAGAGAATCGGGGACTATATTGTCTCGCAGGAGAAGGGCTGTGAGGGATGTATATTAGGATGGTTGTCTGAGAGACGCTAAGCGTCGTGTCTTAAGCCTACAGCACTCTTGGGACATCACTTAGTATTAATCTTTTTAATAGTTTACTATATAGATCTAAGATAAACCTCCCAGCCCCATTCTGAGTGTTTGAGCTTTATGAGCCCAGTAGACGGGAGGTCAATGCTTCCTCTCTGCTTGTATCACTAATCTACCAGGGGGGGCGTCTTTGGCATACTCGGCTCCGGTACTAGTTAGCCTTCTATAGAGCGTCCGGCTGTGATAAACGAGATAAAGAGTGGTGGAACGAGCGAAAAACATGCTAAACACATCTTCCTCCAGCCATTTCAATCCTCCTGTATGTCATCACAATATATCACTCGACCCGCCCCTCTGCCTTGGAACATTCTTTACAATATTCAGCGGCCATCGTAGGTAGTGTGGCGTAATAGAATTGCCGCTCAACCCTCTTATATATTTTACCAGCTTTTTCTCCCTTATTGCATGGACTCCTCAGGGGCATTGGGTGAACGTGGGGCATAATATGTGGGGTTTCGTTGCCCGAATCGAGCGCTCGCTGGACTTGAGTCGGGCCAGTCCGTTCCGGGTCCTTTTTAGCGCATTGGAAAACCTGACCGGAGGCCCCGAACATTTCGGGAAAGGCAGGGGGGAAAAGAAATAAGAGAGGTCCCAGTAGTTTATCTCATGGAGGACGTATTCAGCAGAAGGGGGAGGGAAAAGTTTGCGGATTGTTCTGGGATTCCGGTAGGTCAACGTGCTTTTCATGTAATTGGGATTGTCTGAGCTGGGGATATAGTAGCGTCGTTCTTGTTTTCTCCTTCGCTTAGGAAGGCGGGGGATGAAGTCCCTACAAGCGCGCGAACGTGCAGTAGAAGGAGTGCGCTCGTAGTTAATATATTTTATAAGAAAGGAGGATAATATCATAAAGGAAAATTACCGGCTCTTGTGAAGGGATTAAGAATTCCCTCTCCGGTGCAGATCATCACATGGAATGTGTATTGACTAAATTTACTTACCTCCTCCCCCGCGGCCCTGATCACACACCCTCTGACTATTAGGACCCAAGATCCCTACAGAGGGGAGTAACTACCGCTAAAGAGGGTAGACTGTTTCACCCTTCCCCCTCGGGTTTGTTCGGGGTTCTCTATGGGACAACCTCTAGCGCATGAATATTAAGCATTGAGCGCAGTAAGCCGGTGAAGCGAGGGTCCGCAACTGCCCGCTTGGGACAAACCTGATTGATGTGCTTCACTACTCTCGGTAGGGAAAAAGTACTCTATATTAGTTCCCGTCTACTTTGTATTGCTAAGTAGTGGATAAGAATGGTAACTAGGGTGAAAAGGCGGCTAGGGGGTAACGACAGCAGAAATCACCATGGTTTTTGAAGGGGGGACGGCTGTGGAGGAGTATCACAATCCGACTGTGGCATGACCATCCGGATTTTGGAGATCAACATCCCAACAGCAATTCAGACCGTAATCGCACAGGTGTGGTTGGCCTATACGAGTGTATGATCGACCAGGCAGACACGGGAGCATCGTTCACTCTCATGGGTATTACGTACGCTGTTCCTAGGCAGAGTGACGGGGAGTAGCGGGGACCTGCATGGTTCAGTGGCGAAGTCCATTTTATGGTCGGCCTTTTGGTTGATTTATGATATGTACGGACTCCCCCTTCTCAAGGAATCACTAGAATCAACAGCTGTCCTGGCGCGGCATGCATGGGTTGGTGTCGCAGGTGGTGCTGGTGCGTGTCGCGGTGCGGCAGCCAACATCTGGCTCGCCTCCCGGGAGTATGATGCTAAATGCCTTCTCCGCAGTGGCGTGAAATTCTGCAGCGACCGACATTGCAGCTTCCCCTAATTCCAGTGGCGGAGGCAACAGTGGCAGTAGTGATTCCAGAGAAAACACGGTTTCCGGTAAAGGAAACAATCACGGCGCACCATTAGGCATGTTAGAGGATTGTACTGGGGTTATCCTCATGACTGTTAGGGTTTCGGGAGACCTACAAGCAGAGGCTTGGCGTACATGTCTTTCCCTTCTATATAACAATGGTGGCAGCTGGGAAATACAGCGAGCAGTTCCCTTCCTTCCTCTCTCCATTCCCGGCGCTTGCGCGGCACGGGTGGAAACAATCGCCCCCACGGACCCCATAGCCTCAGCCGTTCTCCATTTGAGAGATTCTATGCCGGGATCTCCTCCGTCATGAGCGTATATATCATAACCCTCCTTACCAGAGCCCATGGCCGATCACCTCTTGCCCTCCACTGAGATAGATATTCCGCAGTTCCATGTCATGGCTACTACCCCTTCAAGTATTTTTTTTTTCAGCCCTTACCTAACGATCTCACACCCTCCATTCTTCTCACCCTTTTTTTATCCTTGGAAAGGGTTTTTCATTGGTTTGAGTGTATCAGAGGCGCGTGGATTGCTACCTGGCCACTGGTCTGGAATTCTCGGGATAGATTCGTCTGGAGTCAGCAAATGTGATTTTGATACCTACAGTTGGATTCGAAATCGGGGCCATGCAAGGGGAAAGTGCCTCAAGCGAGTCTTCCGTAGGTGTTCACTTCTATAACTCAAAGACAGTAGCTATTTATCGGTGAGCCATTGGATAGTCTTAAAAAAATCAAACGGTTGGTAATTGCCAAACTAGCCAAGGTGCAAGGAGGGTGCTTAAAATAGGTTGCCGGTGTGAGCAGAAGCAGAACAATCAAAATACGGTTATGCCAACAAGCAAGGAGGAGCCTCAGATTGTACAGTACAGTTTACTGCCTGATTAGCGACGATCCTCAGGCTCGCCATTCTGGTGACGATTTCAAACGGAAAACCTTCACTCCCCTTCCCCCACGCCAAGCCCTTGAATAATCGCCAGGGTAGGTGAGCACTAATTTACCTGTTAGCCGAGCTCACCTACCTTACTACAAAATTCGCGATCTATATCATGTAAAAGCTAAAACTAGGACTCATTCCCCAACCGCTTGATTAAATAAATTCTACGAGCATCTAGCGTCCTAGTTAAGAGGGCAATTAAAACACCATGGCAGGGTGGGGGGGGGGAACTTGGGCATTAGTATTGGGGTGGATGGGTCGAGAGGATCTGGGGTCGTCCCCCGAGGATGCCTTTAATTCTGCAAAATGAAATAGAAGTATCAGTATGATACGTCGGTTGGACCTGCATGCCAGTAGGGAATGCTAGGGTAAACCCCATTTACACGGTTTAGGTAGCAAACTACTGCCAATATGGTGGTCCATCTCCGTTCCAGGGAACAACTTGTGGTGGTTGGGGGATCCCGCTGGGTTAGTATGACTTTTCTAACCAATCGCACCTACAATCGTGTGGTGGGGGTATTTCACTCTTTAAACGACAAGCGAACGATTGGAGTAGAGAATATGAGTGCAGTACTTTTTTTTTTTTTTCTAAAGCACCCCTTACCGAGACCACTGGCTGTAACCCGACAATACGGGATTCTGTGCAGGCTAGGCCCGCTTGGGACTAGGGGAGGGTGAACCTATCCGCCCCTCTGCACTCCTTTTTACACTTTTTGTTAGCCAAACCTGCCCCAATCAAGAGCCCCAGGAATGGATATCATGTATGGTTGAAATTACTAATTACACCGGTACAGGCACTGTACAGTCGCACCTCGCTATCCCGGATGGCCAAATTTCACGGATTTCATACGGGATAACGGGGTGTCCGGAACAACGGGGTATCATGAATAAAATAGAAATTTCCAAGAAAAAGTTAAGATCTTTTATTTGCATTCTCTTGAGAAGGCTTAATTCAATAAATATTCATATGCAGAATTGACTCCACCTGCCTTCCACTTTGTAGGTCTACAGGTAGCATGTTCTTCATCCTCCTCTTCCTCACCGCTTGTATCAATATAGAGAATTGGTTCCTCCTCTCCTCCCATTACCGTGACTACAGGCACTCTCCCTTGTCCCCGTGGTCCTAGCTCCTGAGATCTGATATCATGGGAGTGGGGTTGGTGGGAGGCTGGAACGGTGGGACGAAAGAATTGGTAAATTGTTGTCTGCTGAGTTTGCCGAGTATTCCGGTAACTGTGATTTATTAGAAATCAGATCTGAAGAGACGTAGGATAAAGAAGAGAATACCGAAGAAGGGCAGAATGAAGCTTGTAGGTGGATGTTATCAGTTCTTCCACAGAGAGACTATTACGGCCAAGAAGGGGTAGGTGAGTAACCGGAAGAGTTTGAAGAAGGCGTTGAAGCTCAAAGCTGTAATGTGCGGCGGTCTCTATTCCAATTACTGGAAGTGTGGAAATATCGTCACCATCACTTTCTGGCTCACTCCGATCTAAGCTCTCCGACGTATGCAATAAGATCCCTTCAGCAACACCATCATGGACAATAGCACGGACATCTGGAAAAAAACTATCCAAAGGTGAATCCAATCTCTCCTCATCATTGAGGAAATCTTCAAGGCACTCAATCTGGTCAACTCCTTGCTCTCTTAATAGACTCAGAGCTTGTTGGCATTCGTGCTGTTCAAGGCTAATGAAGTGTTCGATCGGGGATGGTGTATCGCAATTAATTTGACTAGAAAGCCCAGAGCTGCCTTCAGAGAACTCAGTGATCGCCGCTTTTTTCCAGCAGTGAACAATCGTGTCCTCTGTGACAGCATCCCAAGAATCCGCAATTAGGTAGATTGCCTGTAAAATATCAATCTTCAAGGGTGCTTTTCCATAGGAATTAAAATGCTCAACCATGAATTGAGCATAACGTCGTCGATAGGCTGCCTTGAAAGAGGCAATAATTCCAGCATCCAATGGCTGCAAAAAGGATGTGGTGTTGGGCGGTAGGTAAACTAAAGTAACATGACTGAGGATAGGAGGCGGAGGTCCTTTGTAGTCAATCGGCGGTGAAGTAGGTTGCGGATGAGTAGGGCAGTTGTCCGTCACAAGTGCTATATGCCGCCGAGCGATTCGCATTTCATCGTTCAATTTCCTTAGAAATTCGTACCAGAGTCCGGTTAATAGCCAGGCCTTTTTGTTATGACGATAAATGACCGGCAAGTTAGCTGGATTGATGCGATTTTGACGAAAAGGCATGGGTTTTGCTGCTCGTCCAATAACCCAAATCTTGCGTTTATCCGTTCCTGTCTCATTAACTATATGAAAAGTAGTTATTCTAATCTTATCCTCCTTTCCTCCTCTTAACTGTTTACCTTTATCTAGTCGGACATTTGAGGACTGTGGCTGCTTGTTAAAAACAAGACCACTTTCATCGCAATTGTAACGGTCCTCAGGTGAAAATGTAGCTAGTTTTTGTTTGAGATGCTGGCGCTGGGCTGGTAGAGCTGATTGATCAATATCGCCGGATTGCCCATGTGTTCGTAGTCTACCGATATTGTGCCGATTTTTGAATCGTTGAAGCCAACCGTTTGACATCTCGAACCCATCATATGGCTTATCGACATTAGCTCTCACTAGCTCTTCCTGAATAATTCTTGCTTGAGCCCTAATTATGTCGTCTGTAACCTGAACTTTGGCGTACTCGGCTGCGTCGATCCAAAGAGCCAGAAAGTGTTCCAAAAAAGGATAACTGCTCGCTCTCTCTTTCTGTTTATTTCCTGTTGTTCCTAATATTATTTTATACTTTAATTAGTATTCTAGTTATTTGATATAAATCTATTATAGAATTCAGTTTACCAGCTGGAGGCTCCTTTTTAATTTTCTCCTTCCATCCTTTAAGATGATCGGAGATGCTAGAAATGGCCAAAGGTTGACCATCTGGACGTCGAGGGCACTCGTTGAGAAGGGCAAAGTCAGCCAGCTTCATTTGCGGATGTCGTGCTCGAAGGCAGCATAGTTCGTACTTTTGCAAGACGGTTAATCCGGTCTTCTTTGTTGACTTTGTTGTAGGCATTATCAAACTGGCTTGAGGAGCGCAGACAACTTTCTACTTCGAAAATGAATTCTCTATCTATAGTGTCTAGGTATATGTATTGGAATCTCCCTACCCTCCCGGAGTCTTCTTCCTTTTTTCTCTTCACTTCTAACTATCTTTCTAACCCCGCCTTCTTTCCTCATTTGGCTTAGTTTATTGAACAGTTATCTTGGGATCCGGTTCAACAGATCAACTTTCTATGGGGACCAGGGGTGCCATTTCTCAAATATCATACGAATCCGAATCCTGCCTCTTTCCGGTTCAACGGGGTGAATTCTATGACAGTCCAGAGCTGCCACAGATTTTGTCCGGTTCAGCGCGGTATCCGGTTCAGCGGGATCCGGGATAGCGAGGTGCGACTGTACTCGGGTACAGGGGTAAGTCGGGTGCGCTGCCATTGCTGCTCTTGGCAGCTTTCGAACTCATATTTTTAGACCGGGTAACCAAACCCCTATCTTAATCGCAAATTCATCATCTCTGCTCAAGTCCTAGTCCCGAAGACCACAATGACTACAAAAATACCCTTCCATCACTCAGATCCAGATAGATGTTAAATCCAAACACAAGTAGTAGCTCTAAAGGCAATCTAGTGATACTGCTGATCCCTGAGCCAGCTTTGGGTGGAGCAGCACCAAAGCAATAGGGGGGGAATCATACTGAGCGCACCCGACTTTTGATCCTCACCAATTCTAGTCATCAGGTATCACTCATATTTCCTGATTTGACCTAGTTTGTGCACAAAAACCCTGCCTATTTCGGAAGCGCACACGACTTACCGTTACCCCCGAGTACGAGTACAGTTCTCTGCTCAGATAACCGTGCCAAGGTTAACAGCCATCACCCTTGCGGAGCCAGTGGGTTGGTAACCGTTGGTTGGGTTGCAGTTTTAAGGCCTACAGCTCAAGTTGCAACCACAGCTTGCTGCGGTAGTATCACACCACCTTTAGATAGCCCCTGATATCAGTGTGTCTGTGCAAGCTTAAGTTACTCGAGTACTAGTGGGTGGAAAACTCCATCCTTGCCAAGATCCGTCTTGGGACCTTCCTCCAATCAGGACTCTGTTCCCGAGTATAGGACAAGTGCTGGTATAGTGCCGGTGCTCACCATTGAACGGCATTTGTGAACGTGAGCACAACCCCGACTAGTATTGCCTGCCTGGGATCTTAGCAAAATCTCCTAGGTACTGTATGCGATAGTAGCCGCCTCTACAATCGTGGCTCAATTCGGGGTATCCCATGAAGGGATGAGACATACAGATTCCCCCGCCTCCCAAATCCGGGTGTCCCAGTGACTTTGCCTCACAAGAATCAAGAGATATCTAGAGTTTTTTCTATGTGACCTCGCCACAGCATAATGTTACTATATACGGCACGCGGGGAACCTGCATGTCTCATCCGTCCATGGGATACGGTAGTACTAGTACCTAAAGGGGGTTGAGCCCATTTATCGAGCGTAACATTTGCACATAGCCCGTGGGTGCAGTACCGGCAGCAACGAGACACTTTCTGCGGGTGTACTGTACCAGTACCGTGTCCCCACGGCTGAGGGATGTTCTCGGGCCGAGTCGGGCGAACCCATAAGTAAGTTGGTGGCCTTAAAACTGGGCTTTACATGGTTTAACTAGACCAACGTGTGACAAAGACTATCATGACAGGGTAGCCCGGGGGCCGCTCCCCTGGCACCCTGCAGCTTGGTTGTTGATGGCTACCCCTCTCAGGTCCCTACCTTAAACAGGTGGGATTTCCTAAATCCCCTAAATTCAAACCGATTCTACTCAGCTAGAAGCCTCTACCGCGAGATGGATTCAAGCACGGGATTCTTCAAGTTCATATTTTCGGACCGTCCGAAGTATTTCAAAGCAGCGTACGAATCATTGGATCTCAAACCTTACCAGATCTTTGACCTTCTCCTGAGCCAAGAGCGTTTCAAAAATTTCTTCTCCAGAGTGGACGTTTACGGTAACAACCTTGCCAACCTATTAAGTCAATTTCCAAGCTTCGAGAAAGATAATTACAATGGCTCGTTATTGCGAGAAATTATTAGAGCCTTCACTTTCTCATTGCTCGCTGAAAGGTTCGATGAAATGAGAGCTCGGAGTACAGTGGCAAGAATTGTTATCTCGGTTGTGAAATTATCGGATCCAAGGACTTTAGGGTACTTTGGTGTGAGATTAGGAGCACTCCCGGGGATATTGCGGATTTTGATAGCGGAAGGACACTTAAAAAAACTAGCCCTAACTCACAAGCGGTGCTTTGAGGGTCTCATTTCTGAGCCCCGAGCCGGGAAGCAGTGGGTTGAAGTTATTATGGATCTCTGCAAGAAATGTGAACTGCACGGGTCGAGGCCTAAGAGAACTGGCCACCTGGAGTTGGGGAAGTTTATTCGCACTATTCCTTGTGAACACTGCCCAGATATTTCTTCTGATGGTGGGCTCAGCCGGAATTCTGAGGGCAAGCTTACACGTGCCCCAGGAGACCCTTTTCGACCAGGTACAGAGCCAAACGCATTCGAACACCTCCTGGGCGAGCCCCTTGGGCCATGGAAGATAATTCTTTCCCAACTGGCTATGGAGGATCTGGAAGAAGCGAATGAACAAGGTACTTGCTCTGTAGAGCTGGGAATTTGGAAGTTTGTTAATCTTGTTAGGTCACTTCAAGAGTGTTCGGTGCAAGCTCTACGAGCTCGCCTCCGGGGACTGGGCGGGAAAAAAGATACTTGATCGGGCGGAGTGGGGCAACACACTGGGCTATCGAATTCCGTTATTCAAAGCGCTCTACGAGGACAAGACCGAGCATTATATATTATGGCAAATCGATGCTGCGTTTGATGAAAGGTTTGGAGAAGATTGCCAAGTAATAAAGGGTTCGGTTCCATGCAAGGTTACCCTCATAGGTAGAGAGCTAACGACAAGCGACTCGGTTAGTATGGGCTATCGGAAAACCCAAGAATGTATGTGTTGGTCCCGGTGTGATGTAGGTATGATGATATTAAGGTGAAGTAGATCGACAAGATTAGTGCGCATATCAATAGGGTACAACAAGCCTATACGGAAGCTCGAGTGGGATCATGCGACATAGATGATGCGGACGGGTCACGGGAGATTAGATATCCAGCGAGGGTATTTTTGGGTGGTGAGGGAAGAGATGTTATGGGGGCTGATGGTACTAGCCATGAGGATTTTGGCGATTCAGCGCAACTAAGTAAGGGGGTTCAAATAGCCCCACATGAATGGCTCTTGCATGAGTATACTAAACCCGTGGTTAACAGCGAAGTTCTATAGCCTCACTACCACGGTTCTGCATAATACTACCACTATAACTGGAGACACGGCATACCCGGTAGCCATATCAGCGGAAGAGGTTGAGGTGGTGGATCACTTTGTAACCCCAGCATTCATTCTTGGGAGAAGTGGGACCGGGAAAACCACCTGCTTGGTCTACAAGTTAGCAGGAAGATATTTAAGTAGCAGAAAGAGTGGAGAACCATTGAGACAAGTATGTGATTGCAGGATATCTGAGATTGGGTCATGCTCGAGGGCGTGAGGTTGGCTAAGCTGACAATCATAGGTCTTGCTCACGAAGTCAAAGAGGTTGGCGTCGAAGTTAAGAGCCAATACCGGTGGATTGATTGGAGCAAAATTGGGCGAAATGAGCAGGTTGGTTGAGAGTGACTATGCCCGAAATGATGAATTCGATGACGGTACAAAAAAGCAATTCTCATTACTCGGCGATGCCGAGTTCCCCCTGATATGCACCTTTGATTACTTGTTAAGACTTATTGAAAATAGTATTAGGTTTGTTGCTCCTCAGCTTAAGCTGTTACTATATAAAAGCTTACTAAATCGACTTAGGGAACAGGAGAACCGGCGGAGATACGTAAAGATAAACAGTGCTATATGCACCCGCGTGATTGACTTCCGGAGGTTCAACACCGAGTACTGGGAATGCCTGTCCCCGAAATTAAAGAAGGGTATTCCGGTAGATTTAGCATTTCTGGAAATCATGGGAGTCATCAAAGGATCGGTTACACCGGACAGACACTTTGGGCCTTTATCTCGCGAAGATTACCTGGGAAAGCGCTGGAGACTGGCCCCGAATTTTGCAACTCGAGAAGAGAGAGATGCTGTCTACGACATATACGAATGGTATGAGCGTGCTAAGAAGAAACGTGGCGATATCGATCAGGCAGATAGAGTTATCAAAGTTACGAAGGCATTGGAGGAATTCAAGTGTTCGCGGATATCTGAAGATAATGTGTTCGAACAGAATATTCGGAGGATACTACACGAAATTTATGTGGATGGTATGCGCCTCGTGATCAAAATTTCTAGCTTTAGGAGGGGTTTAACAAAAAGGCAGAGGTCCAAGACCAGCGAACGTCGGAAATAGATATGCTTTTGACGTTAGTGGAATATCCTCGGCGAATCCATTTCGGTATGGTTCTCTCTATCTTCTGCTCTTTCTACTTGGCTGTCGGTTCTCATCAGCGAACAGCAGGTGATACGGCTCAGTGTATATCCAAGGACGCTCTTTTCCGGTTTGCAAATGCAAAAGCCTTGTTTTACGAGCGCTTCAAGGACACCACTAGCAGCACCAGAGACCTAAAGCCAGCATTGAAGCAATTATTGCACAACTTTAGATCTCACCAGCAGATTTTGAGCGTTGCTTCCTTAGTGATGGACCTCTTGTATGGTGGTGCGTGGCTCCCTGCAGCACTCTCTTCGGTCTTCCATCGTACTTATAGGGTGATTCAGGTTTTCCCGAATTAGTTGATGAATTGAGTCCTGAAATTGGAGATATTCCCGGTCCCAGACCTACCCTTTATAGTAACCGCATGCCCGCCCGAACTGCCATTTTATCTAGCTAATTTTTGCAGTTGGGGGCAACATAATGGAGATCCTGAAATATGTAGAGCAGATGGAAAACGCTCAGAAATCGGACGTCCAGGGGAACAAGTTCCAGGAATATGGGGAAGTGCGTGTTATTCTGGTTCGGGATGAAGAGACACGTGACAAACTTCGAACAGAACTTGGAAAGGCTTGGTTGGTATTAACAATTCTCCAGAGCAAGGGCATGGAGTTCGAGGACGTTTTCCTCTATAACTTCCTTAGTACAACCCCATGCAGCAATAATTTGGGTATCTTGGAGGATCTTTTCAAACGGAGGCATCATACCGGTAGGACTTACTCAAAAAATAATATTCCTTTGGGGGAAGCTCTATGTCGTGTACTAACCCATTTAAATTCCAAAGATTCATGTCAAAAAGGTTATTCAGACTGGGGGAGAAACAATATTGTGAGTAAATCATTACTTAAATCATAAAAAATATTCTAACTGCCCCGTAGGCCCTCTGCGCAGAATTGAAGGTAGTTTGATAGTCGTCGGATCGTCGTTTTGGGCTTGATTTGATTGCTGATCATAAGCGGGTGTGAAGAATTTATACGTCGGAGTGACCAGAGCTCGGAACAGGCTATGGATCCTGGAAAGTAACACATGTGACTTGGGACCAGTAGAACGCCTGTTCAATCAAACAGCCAGTAAGCTTCGGCCAGATCGCTACGCGCCCGACATACTGGAGATATTAAGAGAAAGAGATATTCCGGTATGTCCTGAATCTCCGTCGGATTGCCCGTGTTGACATCCCTAGGTTTTGGAGCTGCATAAACGGTTATCGACGGGAAGGACCATCAGCCCCTCTCGGTGGAGAGAAATGGGGTATCAAATGATTGACGATCAACAATACTTTGAAGTTCGCTCGTGCATGCTATGTTTCCAAAGAACAAGGCTGATTATTTCTCTATTAGGCTCTGCGGTGCTTTGGGGAGGCTGAATTTTCTCAGGGCATGACATTGGCGAATGCATATATTAGTGAAGAAATTGGGCTCACCAACAGAGCTAACAGGTCATTTGAAGTGGCTAATTGTCATCTCATGAGGGCATCAGAACTATTCCTAGAAGCCGGTAGCGTCGCGAAGGCGGTTCAATGCCGGAAGGAAGGAGGCGATCTGAGGGGTGCAGCAGGTGAGTATATCCCAAGGAAGCATTTGAATATCGAGGCTTAAATTTTATAGAGATTCTTGCCGATAACGGAGAATATGAAGATGCTGCCTGGCTTTCAGCAGAAGTTGGCTTGTTTTCAGAAGCAAGCAAGGTATATAGACGACTTGGCAAGCATGAGAAGGCTCTTGCAGGATACGCCCGTGGGAAACAATTTAAATCGATGTTGAATTATCTTACGAAGTTTTACCAGACCCCTTCACCTCTTAATTCCCGGAGAGTTGGAAGATGGGATTAGCTAACGACCAGGAACAATAGGTTTGAATCGGACATTGAGCCATGTTGTTGGAATCAGTATCTACAGCTCTTCTACTTGAAAGAATTTGGAGAAAGCGATACGATTTCCGACGAGTTCGAAAAACGAGTAATTGTCCTTATTGGATCTCGAGAGGAGCAAAAGATGGTTTTGTCAAGATTTGGCCTGGCGAACAAACTTTTCGAATTTTTCAGTACCCGCGGCGAATACACCGAAGCCTACGAGGTTGGAGTAAGTTTTGGGCTTCTGGAGAACGCTATTCAGTTGCTCAGTGACAGAATCCTCCCAAAAAATCCAAATTGGGGACAGGGGCGGCAGCTGGACGTGGTGTGTCAGTTTCTGCAAGCAGAGAATCTCGCGACTGATCCTTGGATGAGAGCCGGGGGAGGCAGGCGGATTCATGAGGCGCTACTGGCGGCAGCTGAGAGCATACAAATCAATTCTTTTGTCAAAATGTGGGAAGGTGTTAATCATGCTCTCGATAGATTCAATTGGAATGGAGCTAGTTTAACGATAGGAAATCTCGGCGATAAGCAGGTTGTTGGTTACGTGGACATTCTGGTTGGCTCTTGTGAGATGTTTATGCTGTTCACTACTGACTTACCCCTAGGCAACGAGGAGTGCATATCTAAACAACGAATCCCAGCTTCCGCTCGACCGTATTGAGCGCGTACTTGAAAATTTGAGGATAATCTCTGCACATGGGACGATTCCATCTTCAGTTCAACTTTATTGCGGGATCTACAAGATACCTTCCCAACCGGGCAAATACATCATCCTAGACTGGTCTCCATTCAGTACTAACTCTAAACCACGGCCCCCAGTTAGGGCGGTGGATATTGAATCGCTAAGAGGCAAGATATTGAGGCATCTTTTAGCGGATATCATTCCTCCACTTGTTTCACTTGATAATGTATTACGAACTGCGTGGGAGCGAAGGGCGGTGCCCCAACACCCGTTCTCATTGTCACTAGGTGAGAGCAACCCCAGACAGTCCATCTCAATTCAATATACCTTGCTTATATGAACTCGGCCGAACCCTTTTTTTTGGAAATATAGAGGTAGATCCCGCACATTGATATTCTGCTCTAAGACCACTCACTTACAGCGTCCCAGTCTCTGGCCCGTCTTTGCCGAATAATATCACGATCTTCTACAATGATCAAGAGCAATAAACAACCTAAAGGCACCTTGCCGCAGAACTGTGAGATATCCACTCTAGCCCACCCAAAAACCTTCGTTTCTAACATAGTATAGGGGATTGGAGGTTCTGGAGAGTAGCTCTTCTTGAGAAAATGGAGTTCAGATCCTCCTACGAGCAGAGCGTTGAAGTTCTACTTAACACCATGTCTGAGTTCACTACTCGAGAAGGGAAATATTACGCATTGTACTCGGTTTTGGTTGCGGATGATACTACAGAATGTCGGGTAGAATTAGCTGCTAAACTGAGTGTGGGGGATTGCGCGTCCTCACTTTTGGCTCAATACCAAACATCATTATTTCTAGGCATGTTTGATTGAACGCTGAGATCTTCTGCAGACAGGCGGGGTTGCGTTCTGACAAGCAGTAGGCTATACGGACCGGTGGATGGAGGTCGTCCTGGGAATGAGCAATCGAAGAACGAACAAGGGGAACATTAATCTTAGACATGGCTCGGAAATGCTGGTTTTAGTCAATCTCTTTCGGTTGGAGACCGAACCCGGCCATTTTCCAGGGAAATTTGTATGTTTGCTTCAGCGGTCCGGTTCACAGTTGGCTTTTCTAACTTCAACATAGTGCGAAAACATCTTCATGATCCTAGGTGCTTTGGGATCAAAAAATTCACAAAACCCTTGCTCAGCCTCCGTCATATCTCTTTATGAGGAATTGACTTTATCCTTGGTAAGAGATAGACTTATCTTCCGGTTTTTACACTAACAAGCCAAGGTTTTCCTTGCACGACCTTATGAGATTCTCATTCCAGATTCCTGGCATCGTTTGTACTTCAATAGATGGGAAAAAAAACATAGGTCACCTTCAGTCCTAGAACGCTTCCGATACCAGCAGTGCCTAGTGAAAGTTTGTTCGAGCTTCTGCGAAATGGCTATAAACACAGAGGGAAGGCCTCACAAGGACCCTGCTCTAGCTCGACGAAGCATCACCGTAATAGTTATCTGCCTCATCAACTTGGGAAACTTCTTTCCCAGGCCAAAGGAATATACAGAATTGTGGCGGAAGTCACAAGAGGTCTGCTCTTCCACCTAACATCGACTTGAGGGCTGCGTTGTGCTTATTTTCTAGCCAGGTTTTCTCTTGTGACTGTTTGGATGCGCACGGGTTCTTGGGGCTTCGAGAGGACGAACTCATAGGACATTTAGCAAAAGTCTTCCAAGAGTGTAGAATGAAGGATTCAATCCGCCTTGTGAGGGGCCGCAGAGGATGTGTCGACCGGTTTGCCGGGATTCCGTTGAAAGAAAACGGGATCTCGGTGGTGAAAAGCCACCCAATCAAAGGGGGAAGACACTGGTGGAAAACGAGTAGGAACCACAGAACGAGACAACTCAACGCTGCACATATTCTAACTGCCTTCTGGAAGCTGAATGGGCCGAGACTTCTACGAAAGCTGAGAGAGATCCGGAGGCGCCTTAACGCTGCGCATATTTTGACTGCTTTTTGGAAAATAAATGGGCCGGGATATGTGGAGAAGATGACGGGACGTAGGCAACGCCACTCTGCACGTATTTTAACAGCTTTTTGGAGACGGGATGGGCCGAGATATGTGGAGAAGATGACGGGACGTAGGCGGCGCAACGCTGGACGTGTTTTGACGGCTTTTTGGAGACGGAATGGGCCGAGATATGTGGAGAAGATGACGGGACGTAGGCAACGACACGCTGCACGAATTTTAACGACTTTTTGGAGACGGAACGGGCCCAGATATGTGGAGAAGATGACGGGACGTAGGCAACGACACGCTGCACGAATTTTAACGACTTTTTGGAGACGGAACGGGCCCAGATATGTGGAGAAGATGACGGGACGTAGGCAGCGACACGCTGCACGAACCTTAAGGGCTTTTTGGAAACGGAATGGGCCGAGGTTCTTGGAGATGAAGGGGCGCAGACAGCGCAACTCTGCACGCATTTTAGCGGGTTTCTGGAAACGGAATGGACAGCGGGTTCTGGAGAGGATGAGGGAGCGCAGGAGGTACCTTGCCCAGAGGAACAAATATTCCAAAAATTGTTGTTTACTGGTGGATATGAAAGAGGACAAAAATTGGACGTATTGATAGCAGATCTTCGTTTCCCCATTTTGTACTTCCTATTTTGGCGGGGTTGTCAGGCTGTGTCAGCAATGAGAAAAAAGGTCCCTATTCTCGAACCACTCGAGTCACGAGATCTAGTATTTTATTGATTTATCTTAAGAAACGTTACCCTCTTAATCTCGAAGTTGTTACCGCCTTTTCCTTCCTCCCCAGCTTTAGGAGGATGCTCTTGCCCGAACACTAGCCCACCCGCCTACCCCTGGCACATATGATAAGGCTCAGTCGGGAGCGTATTTGCAAAGAAGAAAAAAAAACTGCCCCACGTTTGGATTAGGTATCGCAAACCTCTCCTCCCAAGAAATTTTCCGCCTCCTTGGCCGGGAGCCCATAGCGGGGGACCCGAAAACGGGATAACCATACCCACCCAGGACAACATATTTGATTGAACCCGGGTCGGGCTCTCCCGCACTGAGTGGCCAAGTCATATCAAGCGTATCCGCCTACTGCAGTTTGCTCAACCCCAGAATTCCGAACCTTCTCCAGGCGGGGAAGTTTCGGAAACATTCTGTATTCCGGTATCACAACCCCTGGTCATTGGTGTTCCCAGCGCAGTCCGAAGGATACTGACACCTTCATGAAACTCTGACAGCGCCGAAAAAAGTGAAAAACGGCAAGAAAGTCAGCCTCTGCGAACCCCCCCCCCCCTTCGAACCCCCCTTGGTC